TTAATAATAACCCAAAGAACATTAAGGCGATTAAAGGTAAAATGTACTGCATCTCTTCTTGTTTTACGCAGTAAAAGACAAAAGCAGGTCATTCATCTAAATATGCATTTAATCCACAAGCCGAACACCTGCGTCTCCAATCGCTCATGTCCTGCGTCCCAGTCCCAGACGCTTGGCCCAGCCAGGGCCCGTTGACAGCCCAACACGGCTCAGATCAATATTGGCCAAGGGCAATTAATCATTTAGTGGGTTGCAGAGACACCGAATGGCAAACAGACGACATGAGGAGAGAGAGGGAAATAGGAGTTGGTTGGTGCGGGGAAAATGGGATTATGCAGTCGGCTTGGATGTTCAACAAGAAATTACTTGTGATTACAAGCCACAGTAGCTTTCATAGCAGTAAGGCTCTTATTAGATTTGAGCAGGATATGCAATCAATACGTTTATTTGAATCTTTGGCAGAGGGTCTTCTTGAAATCTGCATTTATGTTGAGAAAGGCACTGTAAGTTAGTAAAGAAGGAGTGGTCTTAATGGATCTACCAAAGTTTAAAGGTTTAAACTTTAAAATATTCCTTCTGTCTTTCATATGGAAGTACCTCGCCTGATAATATCGAAAATATCGTAAGCTCTGATATAGTGCAATTTTAATATCGTAAATTATCGAATAGGTATAAGATATTGCTTTTCGAAAAATTCAGGTGTTATACATATTAGTCCGATTTACCAAACAGAGTAGAATGTAGTAGTGCGTCTAATATCACATCGAAAATATCGTAAGGTGTAATATATATTGAAATTAAATATCTTCGCTTAAATCAAATATCGATTTTTATCGATATACCTAGAGTTCTTCAACTACTTCATGAAACTCATCGTTTGCAAGGGTCTTAAACCCATTTAATAGTTCCGTAACGGACTGTTAACTTCAGCAGCTTAAAGCTCAGAATGCCAATCAAAGGATTACGAACGTAAAGCAGTTTATTTATTAAAGCCCTCTCCTCGGTCGGCGAATGCGTGTGCTCTGGCACTTGAGACATTCGCCCCCATTCGGCCACATAACGCATACTAAACGATCATTAGGCGAGGGGCCCACCCAATCTTGTCGCACATATCGCATCAAATTAACACACAAATTTTTACAACCCGAGCCCATAAAAAGCGCCCCGGCTCAACTATAAAAACAATCAAAACGAGTTACGGACCCGCCAATTTTCTTAGGTTTTTCTCGCCCATGTCGTAAATTTACCCCCCCTGATTCCACATAACTTCTTTACAGCGGGTAGTAAATCATAAAAAGGGGGTAGTAGCTCTAGAAAAAAAATTAAATAAAACAAAAACAAAAGCGAAAAACGAAAAACGAGAAGGGACCACGAGCAAACATTAAAAGTTTAATAAAAATAAATAAATGGCTAGAGTGCAAGAGGGCAATTCTTAATTAAAGCCTGCACTCACCTGCTCCTGTTTTTTCTGTTTCCTTCGTCCTTTTTCAGGTTCAAGAGCCGCACCGTGAGATGCCTGGCCTCGGCTACGTATATTGTTCGACAGATCTGCAACCTGGGCATCACCGTTTACACACCCAGCGTGGCCCTGTCAACGGTGATTGGCATACCCTACTGGGCCTCCATCACGGGCATGGCCATCATTTGCATATTCTTCACCATTATGGTATGTTTGGGAATGCCGGCGATTTAACGATGAAAATATTTAAATTTCTCACTCTCTCCTTTATCCTATTTGAACTCATTAGGGCGGCCTGAAGGCAGCCATCAATGCGGATGTCATCCAGACTCTGACCATCCTCGTTGTCACCGTGGCCGTTTGCATCCAGGGCACCATTTCCACCGGCGGCGTAAAGAAGGTCTACCAGCTAAATCGGGACAATGGTGAGCCATCAGTTTTTGTTAGTTCGATTGATCATGGCAGCTTATTAGCCAGCTGCCAGGGGAGTGTGTGTGTGTAGTGTGCTGACGAATGATGACTATTAAAATGGCATCCATTGTGGGTGGCCGCCATGGCTCCTCCTATGTTTCCGCGTCGGCTCATTATGCACATAAATGATGATGATAAAAGTGGCATAAAACAGCGGCATCCTCTGAATCCAAAAGGGGGCGAGGGAGGCGCGGCGGAAATGGCAGCCTCGCATGACGACAGTAATAAATGTGTGACGGCGGAGCGTTTGTCACTCGAGTTTGAGTTGTTGGCTGTCATTGTGCCGGCAATCGTCGGTCTCCTGGGAATGCCTCCACCTGCTCCATCCCGCAATCTTTTTCCTAGCCATGCACTTGCACTAAAGACACCACCATCTGGCATTCCTTCTATTCCCAGGTCGTCTCAACTTCTGGAATTTTACTGGCGACATGACCGTCAGAGTGGATACCACCTCGGCCTGGCTGGGACAGCTGTTTATGTCCCTCTCCCAGATCGGCTGCCAGCAGAACTTTATGCAGCGCTATGTTAGTCTCAAGTCGCTGAAGCAAGTGCGTCGGTAAGTACTGTCTTGAAGTAAATAAAATTGTAGTCAGGAACATAGACCGGAAATTAGCAAAAGCAGACAACTTTGAAAAGGATTGGGTACATGTTATAACCTTCTTGAGAGTAATAAAATTTTTTTAAATAATTTTTAATTAATTTAAGATGAAATTACACTTTTAAAGACTTAAAGAAGCCTTTTTTAAACGTTTTTTTGGCGTTGTGGTGTTTTACTTTTTCAGTGTAATGCTTACCAATGTCCCCTTGGTGTTCTTCTTCTTCTCACTCTCCTGGATCTCCGGCATGGTCATCTACTCCACATATATCAACTGTGATCCCTATGCTGAGGGCTACATCAAGAAAACCGATGAAATTCTGCCCTTCTTTGTGGAGGATCAGCTTGGCTTTCTGCCTGGATTTGTGGGCATTTTCATGGCCACTTTGTTTAATGGAGCCTTGTGGTGAGTACAGCAATAGATTCTCTTTAGAAGATCCCCCAAAGCAACGTTGAATCTCCTACAGCATGATGGTGTCCAATCTGAACTCTCTGGCTACCGTTGTGTGGGAGGACTTTATATCGCAGTTTCCCAAATTCAAGGGACTCTCCGACAAGCAGCAGCTTAGAATCCTCAAGCTGATCACCGTGATCTGTGGATTGATCATCATGTGCGTGGCCTTTGGCGTTGGATTGCTAGCCGGTGTCATTGAATCCTCGCTGCTGGTGTTCTCGGCCACATCGGGGCCTCTGCTGGGCTGCTTCATCTTGGCCATGATGGTGCCTATTGCCAATTGGAAGGGAACCTCCGCCGGCATGGTTACAGCCTGTGCCTTTGTGCTTTGGATTATTGGCGGTGGCATGACCGTGGACAAGTCGAATCCGATGCTCCCCACCTCAACGGAGGTAGGTTTTTAGTGGGTTTTTGAAAACGGTATCGATTATTAATAGTTTCTTTTTGATTCTTTCGCAGGGATGCTCGAATCACAGCTTCTCGCAGTCCATTGCCAAGCCCATTATTGAGCAGGGACAAATGCCCTGGCTGCTAACCCACACTCCCATCGATGGCTACAACCAGAGCTTTGTGGCCACACCGCCCACCATAGCACCTGAAAGGTAAATAGGCCACAAAGATTATGATGATTTCCTTGATTATAATCTTTACTCACCTTAGATCCGGCCTGGAGAGCTTCTACTCGATCAGCTTCATGTACTACAGTTTGATAGGCACCGCCCTCACCGTGATCATTGGCACTGTGATCAGTCTGCTGACCCAGCATCCCGATGACGACTACGATGGCAAGCTGCTGCATCCCCTAATCTTCCGGCTGTGCGAACGCTTCTCTGGAAGAAAACCATACTATGTCAAGCACGAGGAAGAGTCCGGCCTGAATGGACGCAGCAGCAGCGACTCCTCAGCCACGACGACGACCTGCAAGGAGGAGAAGGTCAACCATGGCTACGAGTCCTCGCCAGAGGAGAAGGAGAAGAACAACCCCATTGCAGTGGTGTTTACCACATCCGAGGGAACAGCCGCCGCCAATGGAACAGCGGACCAGCAGTCCATCTGCGACAGCAGTAGGGTACAACTCGACATTGTACCGGGGGCGGGCGAGACGGGCGTGTATCGCCAGCTAGCCGGGAGATCTGCGCTCTGAGGGGTTAGCCCCGCACTTAGTTAGTAGTAAGCTAAGCCCTAGACTAGACCAATTAGTTAGCAAAGTGTTTCAAGTCTATAAAGATGCTGTGATTTCCGTGCGCGACTGTTGTTGAGCAATGTTCGCGCATTTGTAGCAACTCGTTCGCATGTACTTACCGCGTGCAATAAATGAAGACAATTAAAGCGTATTTTTATACAAAAACACAAGAGAAACTGCGTATTCGTTTCCGTTTCCTACTTTCGCGCTTGAATTTCCCGTAAACTTGGCTGGCCAATGCTGCCCGTCGGACATGTTATCGATAGCCATCGATAGAGAAAGTGCTGGCCAGGGCTACAGGTGTGCAGCGTGAGTCACGATGAAAAGTAGTTGGAATGGAATGTTTACGATATATTTTATATGACATAATAAAACTTATATATTATAAAAAAAAACCACCTATTGTCATAAAATTAAAGATTTGTACAACTTGATATTTTTATGAATTCTTTTTAACCAAATTTTTTATATAAATTTATAATATTTTTTTAATGGATATAAAACCACCTATTTTGTTATATTTTTAAATTTTGTAAAAATTGATAAATAAATACTCTTCCTGCAATTTTTCTTGATTTAACGGAATTTTTTTTCATGAATATTGATTTTTATTAAGTGTTAATTGAAAATAAAAATTAAAAATTCATACCTTATATATATATATTTTAAAGTTTTCTAAGAAAATATGTTTGAAATTGCCTTCTAGTAAAATAACTAATATTCCAATAATAAAAATTAAAAAATATGCAACCTTGTTTTGAAGTCAACGTATTTTCCCCCTTCCGATAGTTTTTCGTGCTCGTGACTGGCCCCAGCTGGTCTCCGGTTTCTCCCATCCCTATTATGTGGGGATTTTATTGTTTTGCGGCGCTGCGTTCACGACAATGCACAAATAAAACGCAAAAAGCCAGGGCACAGCAAATCAAAGGTGAACCATGGCGACGCTAGTCAAGCCCAAGAAGGAGGTGAGTTCATGTCCATAGCCCATTCGCTCCAGAACCTGAGCAAATTCCCTTGCAGAAGGCCAAGAAGTCTCGGGGAGGCGCACGTCAGGCCCCAAAAGAGGAAGACGAAACGGAAGAGTTATCAACAAGTGAAGAACAAAGACCAGTCGAAAATGTGTCGCTGCTGGAGGAATTCGAACGAGTGGCGGCTCTGGCCAGTGGCCAGCCCATTATCAGTCACGATTGCAGTATCTCCAGCGATGTGTTACAAGAATTACCCCAGGAACCAGAGCCAGAACCCGAACCCCAAATGGAAACCCAAAATCAAGAGGAAACCGAGCCCAGTGCCCCTACAGCCCCGCCCTCCACAAGCGTCCGCATTGTTCAGTACCCTAACCTTCAGCCCATGCACCTGTCCAATGCCCAGGTGGAGGAGCACACCTCCAAGATTGTCTACCGCCAGGCGGAGTCATCACCCACTGGCTTTGCTTTGGCCCGGAGCCACATAAAGCCGCTTAATGCCGAGCAATCAAAACAAATCTACGATTGTCCCGATTTGGAGTTGGCCAAGCAGTTTGAGTTGGAGTTCCTCATGAACTCCCTGCTGGAGTCCAGCGAATCGGATCCGCTGTATGCTGCCCTTTTAGAGTACTACGAACTGCAGGGCAAGCTCACCTCGAATCTTCATGACGTGGAGAAGTTACGGAAGTCTTGCCCGGAGACACAGAAACAAATCTGGGAGCGAGAGCCGGTGACACGTACGTTTTCGGGAACCTGCGGCGACGGCAACGTGGTGCAAGAGAGCGTGACCTACGAGTGAGTATTTCTTATAGAAAGTTTAGCTTTATACTTTTGTTTATATATTATTTTAAACTCTCTTGTCTTTCAGTCTCATCAAGGTAAATCCCATCAAGTTGGAGCTGGCCCAGACTGCTCTGACGAGCCTCTATGATCTGGTCTGCCATACTTACACCAACAACCTGATCACGGCCAAGATAACCAAAGTGAAGGTGGATCAGATTATCAATGACTTGCTAACCTATTCCCAAGCAGAGGAACAGCCGGGAATAGCCTTGAATAAGGTGCAATCTGGCCCGGCTCTGGAGTGTGTGTCTCAGCTAAGGCGGGCCATCTCGATACTCTTCAGCTTTGTCCGACGACGCAGTCCCAATGCGGTTAGTCTTGTGTTTATTTTCTTACCTTAAAACTGATACTCAGTCTCCCTTTTCCCCTAGAACTTTGACAAGGACCTCAAGGAATGGCTGCGCAAGTTGATAGCCTTGCAACTCTTGCTGGCCACCAGGGAGGACCATTGGTTCCTGCTCTTCAACATCCTGCGATGTCCGAATGGTGTGGGCTCCTGGGCAGCACAGTTTTTGCAAGTGCCAGGCATGCAAGCCATGGGTCCCAGCACCCAAAACAATGAGCTGCCACTGGAATTGAACTCTCCCGAACTTAACCATTGCATGGCCGTGCTGCAGATCCTTCTGATGCCTGTCAAGAAGCGCAATGAGTACCTAAAGAGTCAGGCTGATCTGACAGAGTCGTCGGGGGCCACGGAGCGCTGGATAGTGGTGGACTCGGATGGCGAGGACTCGCACACACCGACCGGCGAGTGCGTTGGTCTAAAGGAGAGCGATTTGATTGCCCTGCTAAACCAGCTGCCCTTTGAGAGGATCTTTACGTCAGCACTGCGCATAGAGAAGTTCCTGGAGGACTATATACTCGAGCCGGATATGATCACAGCCCAGAAAATGCTCACCGTGGTGGTGTTCTTTTCGCAGTTGGTCAGAACCCTGGGCGAGGGGCTGCTAACCTACAACAACGAGAGATACAAGCAACTGGCCAAGCGTCTTGGACGCCTGGTGCGTCATACTCTGCAATATGTCTTTGACTATTATGAATTGTTCAAGTAAGTTTTATAAGATAACTTTTTATACCATCTAAAGCCATCCATCCTTGGCAGAAATAACAACTTGTCAAAGTCCCCGGAGCTGTATGAACGCATCCAGGTGGAGCTGCAGGCCCTGCTCATTCGTGCTTGTGGTTACATTTATCGCACTCGTAATCTGGGCACCTGGCAGTACTTCTCAACCCTGCCTTTTGGCTCCTTAGATGCGGAGGTGGTGTGGCATCTGTTTTACTACCTGAATGTGGGTTTTCCCACGGATCTCACCAATGATCTGGTCAGCAATGCAGAGGCTGCCTTCCAGGCCGAAGACTTCTGGGTGAAGTTTGATCTGGCCAATGCGGATGTGGCGCCCGAGGATATGTACTACCTTTTGCAAACCTTTTTCGAGATGGCCAACGATCGAAGTCGCTCCAAGGATGGAGGCCTGGTCAAGGCTGTCTGCCTGCACATCTTCCGCATTGGCTATATCCATCGCTCTACCAGGGAGATCTGCTACAAGACGGCACGCGATATGCTGGCCAATCTGATGGATGAGGATCTGTTTGGTTGCCTGCTCGTTCAGCTGAAGATGCGCTTTGGGGAAGTAGACCAGGCGGCCTATCTCTTCAAGGCTCTGCCGCTGGAGAACTGGCACCCGAGCATGGACAGCTTCGAGGTTCTGTCCAACTGGCTGCTGCACTTTGATTACCAGTCCTCAGAGAGTCACCTGGCTCGCCTTATTATCAGTCACCTGAACTGGGGACTGGATATCGAGGGTAGGCTCTTCCTGCCCCACAACATCCATGTGCGAATGGCTCATTTGGTAAATGAGGCTTTGAACAAGTACGCTCCTGAAATTATAGGAGCCTCCGGGATTTCGGAGAGTGTGCGTCAGGTATCCTCCCTCATCGACTCCACTCAGTCGAGTCGGGAGCAGTTTACCAACTGGTGCTGGCGCATGATTTCCCTGCTGCGACTTCATCTCATGGATCAGGGTGTGGAGTCGGTGAAACGCACACTTCAGCATCCCACGGAGCCGCTGCTTTTCATACCCGAAATGGAGCGCTTGGAAATGGTCTTCCAGGGGGTCAACGAGAACCGCCCGTTGGCACTTTATGTGGGCATGCTGGTCAGCCTGCATGGTCACTCGATTCCGCTAATCTGTCAGCATGGATTCAATCTGCTGCAGCAACTGCTGCTAGATCACCGGCATGCGGCCACCATACGGTGTCTGGAGCTGATAGTGCCTCTATTCCTGGAGACACCAGAGACGTTGGCGACTTGCGAGAGGTTCGTTGGGAGTATTAATTTCGTGTAAGATTAATTTACTTTTGATTTGAATAGTTTCCAGAGAGTCTTGATTACATTGCTGAATGCGGACAGAACCTACTTGAAGCTGGCCAAGGACATGGTCTATGCCAACTCAATTGGGCCCATTTTGGAACTGCTAGATAATATGCTGCATCACCAGATTGTTTCCTATACCAGGTAGGTGCTCCATTTAGGACGTTAGTTTTCTTTCTAGTCTTTAATTATAAAATTTAATTATATTTTATTGCTATTCTCTCCAATATATTAGCTATGGACTGTGCTCACCGCTTAACCTGCTCAATATCTGGCTAAATTGCTTCACCACGCTACCAGGCTGGTCACAAAACTCGAATCTGCTGTATCTTCTTGACAGGATGCTGCGCATTTCCTACCAATTTCCAGACTGCCGTGTTCAGGCTGTGGAATTCTTTTACAATTTTTACAAAGTAAGCCATAAACTTAAAGATAAATATGGTATTAACTATTTATTTTTTATTTATTTATATTTTTCCTTCCTTTAGGATTGTACGGACTGGAAGTCAGCCCCCAAGGGTTCCGCTTTAAAGGCCTTCTTTGGCGGCCAGTCGCCATCGCGCATTCCCCTCATCTCACCGCAGAATTGCTGGCTAAATCTCGTGCTCCTCGAGATTGAATTCCGTCTGGTGGACAGTCGCATCTGGCCCGAGCTACTGCGTCAACTTTCCGCCCAGCAATTGGAGGCTGCTCTCAAGAAAACCATTTCGCTGACCAAGGCAACTGCCTTTCCCCCCAGCCAGCTGGTGATTTTCAAGTACGCCCAGCTGCTGGCCAGCATGGACAGCAATCACGCTCTGTTCCCCATCGTGTGCCAGAAGTTCTTTGAGCTGTATCTGTGGCGAGTGCCCACAGAAAATGAATCCCTCAATTTTAGTCACAACTTTGGAGTGGCCGACAAATTCTATGAACACAATGTGCCTTTGATGAAGAGCATCAAATCCCAGCTAAAGTCAGCCGAGGCGTACTACTCGGCCTTGGCCACCAAGAGTGCCAGTGATGAGGCCATGGGCCACTTCTATCGCAGCTGCTGCAAGCTGATGCAGAGTTGTGCTCTGTGGCTGGAGGACACCCAGATCAATAGGTTTACCAGCGATGCCGAAGCCCTGCCAGCTCAGTACAACTGCGAGAAGCTGCGTGAGCTTCTAGGCGGTCATGTCAACCACTGGACGGAGTTCCTGTGCCTGGCCGCATTGCGCAAGGAGCAGCGACATCAGGCGGATCAGTGGGCACGAAAAGTGTTGAGAGTTGCAAATCAAAGGGCAGCCAGGACACCAGTTCAGCCAAAGCCGCGTCAGCCACCAACTCAGCATATTAAGAGCCTGCTCAACACCTACGAGAAGGTACTACCCATACCCATTCATGTGCGCGTGGAACCCGTGCAGACGCCGCCCATCAATGGCAACATAATGAATCTGCTGAAAAAGCGCTTGAGCACTTTTAATTCAACCGCAAAGTGAGTTTTGTAACAAACTTGTTCCCACAGCTTAATAATCCCTCTACCCTTAGCACCTACCACTACAAGACATCCGAGTTGAACTCACTGAACCTCAACTATCTGGAGAGTGTGCCGGCCTTGTACCAGATGATTCCCTACGAGGAGACCCGGCGGAAGGAGTGCAACTCCCTGCTCTTTCAAAGGACTTGCACAGCGCCTGCAAAGATCACCCTGACGCCAGAGCATGTACGCATCAACGAGGTTATATCCCGGAAGCAGACACAGAATCGTGAAAGACACGACAAGATTGTGGAGGATCTGCTGCTGGCCATGAATGTGGATAGTTTTGCCCAGGCCATCGAGGAGTTTGGGGTTTGCATTGGCGCTCTCTTGGTGGCGCCTTTGGAAGCAAAGGTCACGCAGATTGGCGTGCAGGTCTTCTACCATCTGGTGGATAATCTCAACGAGGTGACCATGAAGTTTCAGCCCACACATGACCTGTACTTCCAAGTGCTGGAGAAACTGGGAGTAAGCAAGAAAAGGTTTAGATTTAGCTTTGTAAGTTTAACTTTAACTTTTACTTGGTAGGTTTTCCTGCAAGCAGATCAGGCTGCCCAAGGACTGGCCGTGCTCCGACTGGCTTTAAAGCGTCCTGATCTGCTAGAGCTTCTGGCTGGGGTCTTTGTACCCAGCCGCACTGATGTGGAGCACTTCCTGCCCATGTACGAGTTTCTTATTGACTCGCACTTGAAGCACTGCGACACACAGATTCTTTTCGTGCTCTTTTCCAAGTTCGACCTGCTGGGTTGGCTGGAGGCCTATCAGCCCAAGCTCAGCGAGATCAATCGCCTGCTCTTGCTGGTGCTCCAAGGATTGGAGGCCTGGTCACAGCCGGATAGTAGCCTCTTGCAGGATCAGTTCCGCCGTCACCTGGTGCACATTTTTGGCTACGACTTTCCCCAACATTATGGCGAGGTGATGCAGATGGTTTTGGATCGAGTCTCAGATCAGAAACTTTTGCCAGTGGTGCTCCAGGATCTACTCAATGCTCTGTTGGTGCGCTCCAATTGCCAAGAGTTGACTTTGGACCAGAACGAACTGGAGGTGCATGAACTGGCCCTGGACTTTTCGCGACGCCAGAAGCTGTTCACCTTGAAGGCGGCCACAGACACGCTCTTACTTTTATCCCGACACTTTCAAAAGGAGCGACTGCATCATGGGCTGCATGGCTTGTATCCCAAGCACAAGGCCTACTGTCAGGCTCTGGTGCTGTGGTTTACCTGCTTCGGTCATGTGCTGCTCGCCTCGGCCATTTGCAGCTACCAGGAGCTGCTAGCTGATCAGAGTGAGTGTTTTTATGGCCTAACTTTAAGGTAGCATTAATTGTAACCCCTTCTTTAGTCAGCGACATAGTTTTTGGCTCTATTGTGGAGACCTACAGTCCCTGGCTGATACCCTACACCGAGCAAACCGCCAGCGGCGTGGCTCACTGGATAAGGCAGCTCACTCCCGGGCAGAGCAAGGTGCTCCTGCCTTGGAGCGAGCAGCATGTGAGCAGCAGCAAGTTGATGATCCGTTCCTTTGTGGCCATCATAATGCAAGTGCTGCAGTACCTGCCGTCGTCGAACAAGATCCTGGAGCATGTCTTTGCCTGGTATGTCCATCACTTTGCCCAGCCCAACATAGCCGGTCATGTGTTGGCCCCCATTCATGAGGGCTTGGCTCAGCTGCCCTGGCAACGTTTCTTGCCGCCGGCCCAGCATGTGGAGCTGCTCTACGATAGCCTGCAGCGTTACCTGCCCGAGTCACATGCCATGCTGGGGCACATCTTCATCCGGATTGATTGGAGCGCCTGGTTTGCCCAGATGCCCCAGCCGGTGGCCATTCTCTCGCGACTGTTTGGCATCTTTGTGAAGATTGCATTTGAGCCGAACATTCACATCCATCCGAATACGAGTAAGATCCTTGAGGAAGCTGTTCAGTATCCCTGGCATTTGGTGGAGTACAGCGAGCTGGAGCAGCTGCTCAAGTGGTTCGTGGCCAGTGTGGAGCCTGCCATTGTCCTGAAGCTGCCTGCCGAGAGCAACTATGCGGATCGAGCTGTCTTGGAGTAAGTCTTGGCAAAGTCAAACTTAAATACTTAAATAAAAACACCTTCCCCTTTGCAGACTTCTTCGACAGGCCTGTGCCATGTTGCCAGCAGCTTCTGCCCAAGAAGCAGTTGTTCTGGGCACCGCCAAGCGCATGCTGTACACCCGCTCCATGGTTCGTCTTCAGCGTGCCTGCGGAGCCAAGCACAAGAAGCTGCTGTCCACCAAGGAGGGGGAACGTGCCTTTACCACGGCTTTCCTGGAGCTATTGAACAGCATTGACGGGGCCATCAGCAGCTGCAGTGAGCATCGCACACCAGAAGAACAGCGCCGGGAGGCTCTTAACCTCATGCTGGAGCTGGTGGCGCCCACCCAGACGCAGAGCCAGGAGGTGTCCAAGTAGGAACTAACAACTGACCAAAGAAATAGTTACCAAAATCTCTCTTATCCCCTTTCAGCATCCACATCAAGGCTCTGATTCGATGGCAACAGCAGTGTGCTCCGGGCAACTTGGTGATGAACTCGGCTCTTCCAGCCATCGGACACCTAAACACCTACATTGCCAGCATCTACTCGCTGCTGGAGGCCAGCATGGAGAGCTACTTCCGTACCTCGCCGGAGAGTGCTCCCTGGCATGCACCCAGCTGGTTGGGTTTGCTGGAGGCTCTGAGCATGTCCCTGCCCAAGCTGGACCTGATGCCCCTCATGCAGGGCGGCTACTTGTTCTCTTTACACGTCTTTGTGGTGTATAAAATGGAGGAGATAGCCACGGATGGCGACAAGGTGACCTTCTTCCAGGACCTGACCCAGTTGCTGGAGAACATCAAGACGAGTCCGCTGACGGAGCCCCGCATGGCCCTCGTCTGGGGTGTGATTATAGCGCGCGGCTGCAAAATACTGCAGGTGAATCAGCAGATGAAGAAGCCTTTGTACATGCTGGCCAGGCATTTGCAGATTGCCTCCACGAAAGCCGAGGGCTGGAGCGATGGACTGCTTGGCGTGATTGGACTCAAGACGGAGGTCATTACCAGCAGGTGAGAATCTTAAATGGGACTTGAATCTCCTTAAAGCTAACATAACTTACCCTTTAAAGACGAAAGGTGTTGACCCGTTGCCTGGCCTGTGTCATCTTCTCATTGTTTCCGGCCAACCGAGACCTTCGTATACCCTCCGAGGAGTACGAAAGCGGACTAAGGGAGCTCTCCATGCTGTTGGCCAATAAGAAGTTTACAGACGTAAAACCCCTCATTGTCCGGGCTGTGAGCCTGCTGAAGGAGGTCACCTTTCCCGATATCCGGGCTGTGCCGCATATGGTCTGTCGGCTGATTAGCATCTTCTATGAGGAGAGCTACCTGACCACCATTCCAGAGGTCTGGGACTTTGACTTCAAGCTGAGTGCGGCGTAGCCAGCGGAGCGAGCGACCAAATACAGCCAGATGTGTTATTTTTTAGATGTTGTATATTTGTCTTATCTAGGTTTAAGGTGAATAAAGTGATCAATTTGCTGCAATTTGGGAAAAACAAAGTATCTTTCATCTTTTAGACTATGACTTTATTGGATACAACTCGAGGGTTTATACTTGAAGCTATTCGTTTAAGCGTAGTTACAATAACAAACTCGAATTCAGTACCGAAATTAGGGATACAGGACCGATTATGATCATCGAAATGATGAATTATACAATTGAATGAAATTTAAAACGAGAATATAAATATAAATAAAAATAGGGCTAGCGACGAACGATAACAAGTGAACATTAAAGGTCTACTCTTGGATATTGCTACACAAAAACTAATAAAAATAACATGGGCACAGCGCGCTTGAAACATCAGTCTTCCACGGCAAAATTGGACAGCTGCAGGTGCTGCAGATTGTTGCGCGCCTCAAAGTAACCCGTATCCGTGGGATTATCGGGCGTGGGTACAAACGGCGGCTCCGTGTTGCCAATGTTCTCCCAGTCAATGCACGCAAAGTGGCGCATCTGCTGTACTTCCTTGGCGGCCGGTCGCTCGGCAGGATCCATCGTCAGAAGCAGTTCCACAGCCTCCATGGCATCCGCCGACAATGCCTCATCGCCTTCCGGCCATTCGATGTCTGCAAGAAGTGGTGGGAATTAGTAGGATACTTGAAGGTAATTCTTGGTAAAAAGTTCACTTACTTTTGTTCAGAATGTTGTCAAATACCTTCTGAGGCGTCTCGTCGTTGAAGGGCGGAATGCCGGTCATGAACTCGTAGAAACACACTCCCAATGCCCACCAGTCGACGGCGGGACCATGACCCTGCTTCAGCAGCAGCTCCGGTGCCAGGTAATCGGGTGTGCCCAGAATGCGCTCGTTGGAAACCCGAGCTCCTCGCCTCACCGACTTCGGGGTACGAAACGGTGTGTTAATGTTCACATTCTTTGGTGTTTTTGGTATGTTCCCTGCTCCATGATTAATGGGCGACATTGTGGGATCGTCGGCTAGCTTCAGGTGATACTGCACACCGGACATCTTCTCCGTGGTGGCATGCTCCCGTTTCTTATTCTCTATGGACAGGGGCAGAGCGAACCGGGTGGCCTTTAGCTTGCCCAGCAGACCACCATCGCGACGTGGCAGCTTCTGCGAGGAGACGGGCGTGGAGAAGACCACGTTGGCCACATTGGCCTCCGGTCCGAGCAGATGATTAATGGGCAGCTCGTCATCGGAGAGGGAGCGCACCTTGAGCACTCCCCGTATGGGCGATGAGCGAGCCTTACGCTTCTTGGGCGTACTGCTACCAATGTTAAGGATCTCAATTTCCTGGGTGAGCCCGGTGTGGGCGCTGCTGGTGCCCGAACTAGAGCCATCGGCCTCCATGCTGGACATGTTGTCTGAACGGTTGACCAGGTTTATCTTCCGCTTCATGCCGCGCAGGAAATCGGGACGCTTGAAGTGCTTGGACAGGTTGCGAAAGGGCGAGTTCATGTGGATGCCGCTCATTTCGTTGGCATTGGTTAGATTGTAGCTGCGCGAATAGTCCGAGCAGCTAAAGTCCTCCTTGGACTGGCTCAGGTTCTCAGCGTTCTTCTCGATCGACGAGGCTGTGCTCTCACTGTTCAGGTTCAGGTGGCAGCTGGAGTTGTCGTCACCCTTGCGGCTTGAGACGCCAGAGTCCTCCTGCCCCTTTGAGATGCCTTTGCGCTGGACGGGAGATTGTAGGATATCGTTAATACAAATAAAGAATTATTGTTGAAACATTATGCTAAGAGACAGACTGGACACACTCATGCACATGCCAACGCACCTCCTCGAGCGATCGCCTGCGCACCATGGAAAACTCAAACGAAGCATCGTTTGCAGTCTCCAGCTTCGGCAAATGCTTGCCACCATTGCTGCTGTCCTGCTCGGCCTGCTTGCAGCCCTTTATTGCGAAATAAATATAGAAATTACTGGTTTGATACCAGCAGTAGTCACTCACCTGACAGTTGACGGTATCTAGGGCGAATTCCACGCGACGCTTGCTGGTCACTGTCTCGGCTCCAGTGGGTTCCTGAGGCAAACACTTGCTCAAATCCCCCGAGGTGCAGGTGTGAAAGGAGCAAGAGGAGCTGCTGTCCTGGGGCTGTAAAATAAATACACAAACAATTAGACACTGCAAATTCTAATGAAGATTTCCAAACCCACATTGTTGTTGGTCGTGCAAGTATGCGTTATAGATTCATTGACCTCCTCCGCGGAGAAAAACGGCGATACCCCGGAGATCTTGCTGTCGCTTGTCTTCTCTGCTTCGTTCAGAGAAGTGTCGCCCTCACTGTCAGAGAGCTCCATAATCAGACTATGCTTGTTAATGACCTGCAGCAGGTGGGAGGTACCCGTGCCCGTGGTCAGTCCACTCATACCCGTAGCTTGTCCTGCCAAAACGGAGCCATAATCCTGTAACTTCTTCTCGGAACCAAAGGACAAATGCGAGGTGAGCGAGAGCAGCTGTCCCGGCGTGCGAGCATTCAAGTTTGGCGAGCAGTTAATCAGATCTGAGATCTCCAGATCACGCCGCATATCGATTTTGCTCAGGCCAAAGTCGGTGAGCTTCACATGGCCGCTGGCCGAGAGCAGCATGTTGTCCGGCTTGATGTCCCGATGGACGATTCCGTGCTGATGCAGATACTGCAGCGCCATCACCATCTCGGCCACATAGAAGCGGGCAGTGACCTCGTCAAAATAACCGTACATGGCCAGCAGGGACTTGAGATCCCCTCCAACCATATACTCCATCACCAGGTAGACGTAGGACAGCGACTGCAGAGAGTAGAAGAGGCTCACGCAGAACTGGGAGCGGGACAGGGCCAGGGCGTTGCGTTCGGTGATCACCTGTGAGACCATGTTCTTGTTGATCATCTCCGATTTGCGCATCACCTTGATGGCGAACAGCCTGTTGGAGTCGTTGTTCTTGTAGCCCAGAAACACCTTGCCAAAGGCGCCACGGCTGATAGGTTTGATAATGACAAAGTCCTTGATTGTGGGAAGCTGTTGTGGAGTAGGTTAATAATATCAAATTTAGTTACAGACATAAACAATAAGCATATGTATAAGGGTTCACTTTATCGAGAAGGCAGTGTAACAATTAACTGTTTTATATTTCCAGTAGAAGAAAAGGAAGAGAAAGAAGGAAAGCTGGAAGGCGAAAGGAATCTGGAATGTTTTGCAAATCAATGCCAATAAATATTTTGAAGCGGGCTTCTTATAAACTTAAAGCAAATAGTAAAACCACAATATAATCTGTAGAGTTTGTTGTATTTTCACACTTATTCCTCTCATTTTTACAACAAATATTTTTTGGCGCATTTCAAACCCCCACCGAGGATAACTGTAACTGCACGTGCGTGTCGTCACACCACTTTCCCGCGGTTACCTTTGCATTCTGGGAGTGATTCTCCGGCTTTGTGGTCAGTATATTGATCTTGTCCAGCAACTGCTCACTGTCGATCAGCGAGTTAGCCTTCTTGGGGGTTTTGTAATCGATGTGGGGATCCGAATGCGAAGTCGCATCAGTGGTTTCCATATCTCCAATATTCTCGATTCTGGTAGCGCACTAAAAACGCGGTTTTCCCAAAACGCTTGATGTACGGGTTCCAAAGCCAGGCCCGTTTATAAAGAGTATTGGTAACACGTTCCAATAGATTGTTTATTGCACATTTACAACTTTTCAAATGATAATTTAAAGCAGCGCGTCCTTTTTTATTTGTAGCGAATATTAGTGTGAACGCCTACTCTTTCGTTGATAAAGTTTCAAATATTCCAAAACAGCGGATTTTTCCCTTCTCGTTAATTGGTCACACTGAAAAGGATCCGACTAAAAAATAAAACTTGCACTTTGATGCAGCTCTGTGGGAACACGAGTTTCGCATCTGCGAAAAATCCCAAACGTTTCTCACAGATGCGCCGTGTGGGAAGACAGTATAAGCCATAAAAATAAGAAAAATATTTGTGTTTCTTTAAAATAAAGTATTCATAATTCATACATTAAAAAATATAACAAAATAAATAAATAAATAATCAATCGATAGTCAGAAAAAAAAAATAAATCGACATCTCTGTTATCGTCTTTCTTCCATCTCTATCTCCCTTGGTGCCTTGAAAACATTTACGTTTTATTGAAATTCAAAATTTTCACGTGTAGCAGGCTCCCATGAATGGAAGTGAGTGTCAGATAACCCCCCATCGACTGTGAGCAATGCGCCAGAGGCTGACAGCCCCCCACCGCCGCCCATAGCCAGTTAGGAGCCGCCGAGATCCGATACCCGCCATCGCAATGCTATACCTCCGCCGCCTGTTCAGCCAGGAGCTTGCTCCGGTCGCCCAGTGCGACTTCATCGGCTGCCTGCAGCAGACGCCCAACCTGTTGGCCAGCGCTGGGTTCACGGGAGCGCCAGCCCTGGAGAGCCTCACTTGGTTACACAATCTGGCGCCGTGCTTCCCGTTGCGCGGCGACCAAATCCAGGTCATCCATGAGCCGCAGCACTTTTACGAGACGCTGGTGCAGCGCATTGCCCGCGCCAAGCGCCGGATCGTGCTGGCCAGCCTGTACCTGGGCACCGGTCAGCTGGAGAGCGCCGTGGTGCAGACGTTGCGTCACAGCCTGCAGGCGGAGTCGGCGCTGCGGCTGAACGTGCTCCTGGACTTTACACGCGGTACCCGTGGCGCCCTCAACTCCAAGACCATGCTACTGCCGCTGGTGCGCGACTTTGCCAGCCAGGTGCAGCTCTCGCTGTACCACACGCCCGATCTGCGAGGGATGACCAAGCGCCTGGCGCCGCCGCGTTGGAACGAGCTTCTCGGGCTGCAGCACATGAAGGTCTACCTCTTCGACGATGCGGTGATCATTTCGGGGGCCAATCTGTCCAACGATTACTTCACCAACCGCCAGGATCGTTACATACTCATCGAGGACAAGCCGCTGGCGGACTTTTACGCTCAGTTCATCGAGCGGGTGCAGGAGTTCAGTCTGGCGGTGGCTCCAGATGCCAGCGAGGGACTGCATCGCAACTGGCGCATCCTCCCGTACGAAGGCACCAAGGAGCAGTTTATCCAGCTGGCCAAGCAGCGGATCGCAGACTTTGTGCAGGAGACGTTCGAGCGGCAAGCGCGGGCGAAGGAACTTAATCCGCAGGCGGACACCTGGGTGTTTCCGCTGATGGAGATGGGCCAGATTGGCATCCACCACGACAGCGTCGTCACGAAGCGCCTGCTCTCCAACTGCGTGGCCGGGTCGCGGCTCAAGCTGGCCACTGGCTACTTCAACCTGACGCAGGAGTACATGGACACCATCACGCACAAGTGCCTGGCAAAGTGCAGCATCCTAATGGCGCATCCCAATGTAAGTAACGATTTATTTCTTGATTTATTGATGATTGTAAAATGTATTCTTTCCAGGCGAATGGCTTTCAGGGCGCCAAGGGACCCGCTGGAGGCATTCCCGCCGCATATACGCTGATAGCCAAGAGCTTCTACGAGAGTCTGGTGCGCCGGCAGCAAAACCATCGCGTCAACTTCTTCGAGTACGAAAAGCCTGGCTGGACATACCATGCCAAGGGCTTGTGGTACTACCTGCCCGAGGCGCGACTGCCCAACCTCACGCTCATCGGGTCCTCCAACTTTGGCGAGCGCTCGGTCAACCGTGATCTGGAGACGCAAGTGTGCCTGGTCACGGCCAACAAGGACCTGAGCCAGCGTCTTCAGGCGGAGGCGGATCGGCTGTACGACCTATCGCAGACGGCGGAGCGGGAAATTGTGCAGCGACAAGTGCCGCGATGGGTCCAGGCCGTCGTCCGCATATTCAGGAACTTCTTTTAGACTCTTTACAAATCATAGTTACATTTTTTTCGTTGATGTTAAGGCCCCACCCACTCCCAATAGTTACTGTAGTTCTAATTCGTGTTTAATCATTGCCCTGGGCAAGTGTGTGTTTCTATTGCTGGTGATCGTTGCTTTTGTACACAGGCTAGAATTTGTTAACAAATAAAGCGGATTTTTACCCGAATAAATGGGGAAACACGCGTTTCTCTTATCAGCAAAGGGTCTTCATAGTTCAAACTTATGCGAACTGCTGACGTTTTTACGTTGTTGAACGGTGATTTCTGGTTTTACTTTAAAGATGAATAATGTCTTGGGTTTCTCTAAAATATCTCTTATTATAGAAAAATAAAAGAATAGGATAACTAAGATCCCAGAATCGATCTAAAAAAAACTATTAAGTTAATTTCTTCTATATTTTTTGGAATTAAGATTGAGTAAAGCAAAAATACTTAAAAACTGTATTTCCACACAGTCTCAACAGTCGAAAAAGGAGTTTTAACTTTTACTTTTTCACTAGCTAAGTGAAAGTTTTAATTTAAAACTTAAAGCTGCGCGCCATAATTGAATTTCTAATCGATTACCGATAAGACAGCAAGCCAACCAGTTACGGCCACACTGAACAAAGGCGCAGTTTTCCCAACTTAAACTTCTTATCTCTCAGCAAAATTATATTTAATTTCGGCTTTTAAAAGTTACCAGTTGCACTTAATTCTCTTCAATCTATATTTAAGCTTTTTAAATTTAAATAATAATCGACCTATCGCCTAAAAAAAATCGAATGTCTCCATAGCAACTTCGATGTCTTGGCCCTAGTCAGCTGCTTTTTTTTGAACAGGTAAGACGCCTTACCTGTGCGTGCCATCGTCGAGCGTTATGAGTGTGTCGCTTGCCGTGAAAGTTAAATTAAAATAAATCTGATTATCGTCGAGCGAAAAGGCAAAAAATAAAACAACAAAAAGACGCGGCGCGTGCTTACTAAAGTGTTAGTATTGGTGCTACCGACTGTGTGTGAGTGTGAGTGCTGCTGGCATGTGCTAGTGTGCGGATTCCAAGAATAACAAAAGCAAAAGCAACAGCAAAAAGAGAATTGGCGAAAATGTCAAACCTTCGTCGCACAAGGCGCACCATGGATTACCTGGCGCTCCAGCAGAGCCTGCAGCTCCAAAAGACGCCGGCAACGAACGCGGAGGAGGATGGCAACGGAAACGATGCGCCACCGGTGCCGCCCCTCCCGCCACCCCCCATTCCACCCATACGATTACGACGCGAGCAGAGCGTGGACGAGGATGTTGCAAGGTGAGCCGGCTCAGTGGCTGATGGAATTTTTCGGGGTTTTCCCGCATACAAACATGAAAGTCTGCAAAATTGCACGTAACACGGCTTACGTCGCTCTCTGCCCTTGTATTTCTCTCTCACTCACTTTCTGAAGCTTTGGTTGTATTAGTCCCCCTCTCTTGCCACCTCTCTCTTGCGCTTACCTCTCCCATTTCACCAGTTTTAATTGTTAAAACGTAAACAACGTGTTTTTGGCCACGTTATTGTTGTTCTTACTGCTCTTGTTTTTGTTGCTGGCTCAACGAACCCGAGAATTTTGCAAACTGCAAGACAGCCATAAAAAACAGTGAATTCAGACTGAAATTGAACACTTTGCGTGCAGCGCAATTACAATTATACAGAGATACACTTGAGAAAAGTATTAATTAGTTCAAAATTGGTTTTCAATTTTATTGATTTTATATTTGAAGTGTGGCATTACCATTTACACGATGATTGTAAAATGATAAACTAAGGAAAAGGGATAAGATAGATATGACAGGGAGTATGGAAACATTATCCTTAAATTAACATAAAAAGGGAAAATGTAACAACAAACAACGTTGTTGATAAATACATTTTTAAGGTTTTTAATAACTAAAATTACGTGGAATTCGACTCGTGTGTATTTTTATTTTTCTTCCTGTGTTTCTATATTTGTGTATGTTAGGGCATTTATCATAGCGGTATTTGTGTTCGCAGCCGCGCGAGTCTTCCAAGATATTTGCTGATAACGGTGGTGGTGGGGGCCGCTTGATAAGGCGACGCATACATACACCTATCTAGAGGGAATAGCGATTTCGCCTTTTCGTTGTTTCTTTTGCAGGGGCTTATTCATAATTTGTTTAAATTTGATTTGATTTCCGTGGGGCGAATGGGTTGGTGAGTGGGCCGCGAATTCGCAGGAATTGGCGGATGTCGCACGTTGGCACCGAAAGAAAAGAAAATCGCTGCACACATCAATTTTCTTTTGGCACCTGTTCCTCCTCCAATTGGAATTCAGTGAAATTAAGGTGTCTGCTTGCTGTCGCCGTCGTCGTCTGTCTCTCCTCGCTCTCTCTGTCTCCTTGTATCTATCTCTTTATCTCGCCAATCGTGTTCTTCTTCAACTCGCATACCTGTTTTAGGGGGAAAGAGACGGATGTCGGATTGGAAGTTAAAACGCGTTTAATACGTGCGCTTGCCCAGTCTGCTTTGTAACCTCTTTCGTTATTCTGTTTTGAAATCGAATTCGCTTTCTTCTCGAGTTTCCAACGCCTCGTATCAATGGAATTCCAATACCGAAGGTCTCGTCTAACTGTTTTTGGCCGAGAGAGCGACAGATCTGGCTCTCTCTCTTGCAACAAACGTACTTGAACTTGCCGGAGGGAGACGACTCCCACTGCCTTTTCTACCCGCTTACTCTCTCGCTCGCTCTCCGGGCAATCTGGCCTGCGTGCGATACAATCAGTGGGTTTTGGTTTTTCGTCTGTTTTTTTGATAAGCATAATTATGGCATGTACATATGTATGTACATACATAGCAGAAAACATTTCCGCATAGCGCTCACCCACTTGCACACACGTGCCTGTGTTATTAACAGTAATTTTAGATTTTTCCAAATGTACTTTTAAATGCCATGTTTACATAGACATTATTCATACAAGACTTTATTTGTGTGTATTTTTTGGAAAACTAAACAGTACTTCTCAATTTTAATTTTAGCTTTTTGAAATGTGTTTTTAGAACTTAATTTTAGATCTAAAATATACATAGTACAAATATTTATTCTGTTATGAACAGTTTACCTTATAAAATAATTTTTAGAAGATATATGGTAATTATTTTTTTTAACATGCATTATATGTTATTTTGCAAACCTCTAAAATAATTGCAATGAATAGTATTCTATAATTAACTTTGAAGTAAGAATGGACCGCCCTACAATTTGAAATGATTTATATAAAAGTGGAAGTGCTAGTTAACCTGCGCTGCATAAAAATATTAATTAAACCAGAAACTTAAATCAGGTAAAAGTTGCTAGGCCAGGATTGTGAAAACCTTACTTTATAGCTAAGCTATATGATGGGAAAACTATTGACACCGGATCCCTGTGAAAAAACTAATCGATGAGTAATCATCAATGGGGACCACGGTGCGTATGTGTAACTTATGTACACAACAAACATATCAAGTATACGCTCCGTTGGTCACGTGACTGTGCGGAACAACCGACAAAAGACAACAAACTATATATAATAAAGGCTCCGATTTTCACACACAATCTGCTAGCAGTTGATTGACTCAACTCGAATCGATTCCTTCGATTTCACGGGGAATATTCTACAGCTGCTGCAAATATAGTGCTTACTGAATTGATCTCTCTGTGTTTGAATAAACCACACAGCTAATAAGCTAACAAGCGCACGTACATAATAAAATCCCATAAATTAATAATAAATATTCGCGCGGTTAAAAGCCAATCACGAACCACAAACAAACGCGCAGATACGGCCTACTCAACCGATCAGATAACCACTTGCGTTCCACAATAAGTTCTCTTACTTTTTCTGCTTTATCTGTATCTCTCTTTCCGCATTTTCTCTTTTTGTTTCTTGTTTTCTTTTTCTCATTTTAACTCTTTATTTGTGTTTCGTTTGTGTTGATAAAATTTTAGCGATTAAAAAGGCTGAATTATAATAATTAAATGTTAGAAATTGGTAAAACTTTAAGACATACAATTTAGGTTTTTAATATTTGATTTAATAGTTTGCGTTGTTTTAGAGCATGTTGAATTCGTTATTGGCAATTTTCTATAATTAATTTTCCCGTACAATTTAACAGCTGTGTAATATTCGGTAAATTAAAAAAAATTTAAGTACCGATTATCTCCGGAATAAGAAATATAAATAATTATTAGAATAGAAACTTAAAAACAAAATTGCTCAAACCTTTGTTACCTGTATATTACGGGGAAAAATAAGATTCCTTTGAAAAAAGCTAATTGATGAGTAATCGTGAATGGGCACCACAGTGCGTATGTGTATCATATCAAGTATACGTTTATAACTTTAGCCATAAATCATTAAAAAGAAAAACGGCTAAAACTGCACAACTGTTAAGTTGGGGGGCCACCCACTAGTTGCTCTCCGCTGGCGGTAAACAATCGGATGCGTCGGGGCGCTCACTGCTCACTATACTCTTGCTCAGTGGCCAGAGCTGAGAGTTTACTACTTCACCGCTCGCCGCTCGCGACTTTGGTGACCAGTTCGCCGCGGTTGGCAGAGAACAGCAGTCGATTTGGGGGCGACACCGCGCCGTCTGTTCCGGCTCACACTCGTTCGCAGTATATACCGATCCGTATAGTATAGGCAGCGCGAGTAGATGGGGGTATATTCTTGTTAAAAGTGCTAATAAATTGACTGGCTGCCGCGGCAAGTGTTCCGCGTTATGAAATACGAAGGGGTTGTGATAGACCCAAAACTACAGCAGGAGACCGATAGTGCTGGTGACCCCGCGGATAACCAGGAAAGACTCCTCCAACGCCCAGTCATCGTTCTAAAGTTCTCTGCGCTCCTCTTGTAATTGTGAGCTGTCGCCTTCTTGTTTGCTCTCCGCTCGTGCTCGTTGCGTTCCTATTGTTTTTTTTTTTTGTAATTGTTTTTTACGGAGTGTTGTGCCGTGCAATTAGATGTACATAAATTGGCGGGGGGAACCCAAGCTCGAGAGGGTCCCCAAGTAATAACAGCCCTAGATTGCGGCGATAGAACACAATCAGCCAGCTGAGAAGAAAGAGTGTACTTAGCTATACTCTAAAGTTCTCTCGTCTCGTTGCGATTCGCTGATCGTAGCCGGCAGTTTTGAAGTTATTGGACTTGGACTCTGCAAATAGTAAACTGTGATTCCAGCTTGTACGCAAAATGCGTCGGAAAAAGTAAGTTAATTTCGCCAATGGGCTGATGAAAGAGTGTAGCGCGATTGCCAAAAAATTAAACGAGCACGCGAATAATTGCCAGCCAATATCTGGAATTTTTTATTTGGTCTAGAATAAATCAAACCTCCGCTCAAATTAAGGCATAATCACATGCGTGACAAGCGGCTGTCTGCATCCGCAGCAGCGTTATGATAAGATAAGGGTCCTACCAAAATCCGTCCATTCCCTTCAAAAAAACAGCATATTTGCACATGAAACACTTAAAATAAATCTCTTAAACCTTTTTTAGACTTGACATATACAAGAATTTAATTTACTTAAATAGTTTTAATTTGATTTCTAAAATTTCCAAATTCGAATTCAACAAAAATTGATATTAAACCAAGCAATCTTAAGACTGCATCATTTCGCCAAATATGTACTGATGAGGTTTCTTGGCTGTTAATTTAAACATGTGGTATCAACAAATATTTGTTTATTTAAAATATGGGGAAAGGTCCATTGCAATGTCTTATTTAACTTAAGCAAAAGCATTGCATTGCGTTATGAAATTCATTATTTACATTTTAAAATTGTAATAAAACTGGAATTGTTGACTTTAAAAATTTTGCAAACGCTGCTTTTAAAGAGCAAGAGGCCTTTACTTTGAGAAAGTATATTTGAGATTTAAATATGCATTTAATCTCAATGGGTATTAATTTATAGAAAGCGTGTCCAATCAAGGTATTTATAGTTCTGAGTGTAGCCATCACAGAGTGAATTTATCAGACTTATCGGCGATTAGGCGGCACTTGTTCGCCGCTCCAATTAGCAAACAATTAGGGCAAGCCCCCACCTAGATTAGCGCAAAAATAAACCATGAATCCACACCTCTTAACACTCGATCTATACTCTATCTGTATCTTGCAGGGTGGAGTACCGTGTGAAGCAGACGCCTTCGAGGCCGCTGCAGGTGTCTAGCGGTCGCAATGGATCCCTCGAGGAGGATATGCCCCCCGAGGACGAACTGTCGGCCCAGTATGAGGCATTCGGCACCACGCCACCCCGCACCAGGCTCAAAATCAAGAATCGTGACTGGGAACGCAAACAGAAGGTGGCCAATGTGGCGGTGTAAGTATCCAATCACCATATCAGCTATATCAGGGTGGTGTGCTCCATATGGGGATATGTGTGACAGATATATGGCATCGGAGGTGCTGTGATAACGGTTTGTGTCCATGCTAGACGCGTGATCCGCAATGGTAACGAAAGCACATACTCGGAACAGCCATATGCTGCCATATGCTGCACCTGACAGTGCCATCACTATGGCTGATGTCATTCCTGTACTCACGACTGTCACTATAAAATGTTTAAAGATATTGGAAAATGATCACAATGATTCATAATAATAATATTTATCCCTTAATTAGTATATCCATTATCTATTTATTTTTCTTAAATAACCTTCTTATTATTTTCGCTCTGATATTGAAAGCGATATATTTGGTTATATTTTTATAATCCCATGATCCTATTCTAACCGCTTTCCCTTAGTTCCGCAGATTTGCCCTCCAGCGTGGGCGGTACCCCCAAGAAGGGTATGACCCGAATGGCCCGATCTCGCGTCCTGCGTCGCAACACCATGGACTGTGCGCTGCTCAACGAGATGTTCGTCAACGACGAGGGCAAGCGGACAGACAAGCGGCTTCAGTCGCTACTGCGCGACTCGGAGCGTGAGATGAAGAACTCACTGGCCACAACAGCGGTGGCCCCACCGCGGGGCAACAGCTTCCACGAGACTGCTCATCCCCTAGAGTCGCTGGACAAGATCATGCCGCTCAGTTCGGAGGCCATGGCACCGATCCCTCTTCGCATTGCCTCCAAGGTGGTGGAAAGCTGTAATCGTTACCGCTGCGTATCCTCGCGGCCGATTGGCTATCGCTCCTCGGCACCGCCGCTGGCTTTTGCTGCCCAACTGCCAGCCGGGTTGTTGAGGAGCGATGGCAGGGCAACCGCTGGGTTAGGGAAGCGCAAGGACTTCCACGAGACGTTCGCCAACCTAATCAAGCTGGGCAGCGTAGATCGTCAGGATGCCAAGTTGTCGCAGGAGGAACACACTTGGCAGACTGAGCTGAAGGATCTCATCTGGCTAGAGCTGCAGGCTTGGCAGGCTGATCGTACGGTGGAACAGCAGGACAAGTACCTATTCGAGGCACGGCAAGGGGTTTCCGATCTGCTTACCCAGATCATCAGCTATAAGTTCCAGCCGCGCTACCGCCGCGAGCCGAGCCTCATAAGTCTGGACAGCGGCATCCATTCCGATAGTAACTCCAATGCCAGCTGTAAGTTTGGGTTCTTCTCTATAAATACATTTTAAAGCTATACGTGGGATCCTTTTACAGCTCCTTTGCCCAGCAAGATGTGCCAGGGCTGCATGTCTTTGTACTGTAAGGACTGCATGGATCACCAGGAGTTGGCGTTGCGGGAGGTGGAGGGCATGTTGACTCGTCTGGAGGCTGCCGAAGCCCTTTACCCCTCCTCACAGGCCATGGGCGCCCTGCATCCCATCTACAAGTCACAGAGTTTTGTGGGTCGCATCAAGTCCATGTGCCTGTGGTATAACATAACCAAGCAGAACAAGCTCAAGCTGAGTATTCTGGGCAAGATCTTGGCCAGGTAGGTTAACCTCAAACGGTTTCTTGTCCTTGAAATTAATTTTATTTAAAATGGTTGCAGGCTGCAAGATGAGAAGTTCTCCTGGCCCGTGTGCACCTCCTCCTACATGGCCTCGGATAGTGGTAGCTCTTCTGCCTCAGGTGTGGACAATGATGACTCGGCTGTCAACTCTATGGACTCCTCAAAGCCGCCCAGTGTGACAAGCTCGCGCAAAGGTTGCCGTAATGGCAGCGTAACACCTTGCCACAAGGTGCAGTTCATGCTGAACGATGCCACCCATGTGCCCGGCGAGACTTCCAGCAGCAATGAGTAAGTTCCATAGGGATGCTCTAGATTTGCATATAAATAATTCTTAAATCCTTTCTCAGATCCACCTCTACCGAGATCAGCCAGTTGTCCAGCGAATGCTCGCATGGCCACATGCGCAAGGGATCCATGCACGACATCAACATTTTCAGTGTGGAGCCTTTGGGTTCCTGCAGCAACAATGGCACTGGGGAGCAGTCCTCGGCCCTGTACCGCAAGTTCATTGAGAATGTCCTCAAGAGTCGTGGACTGGCCAAGTCGCTGGCCTTTCTCCACAAGCTGCACAATGTGGCGTTGTACAAGGCTCACATTTCCTTGGAGAAGCCCGGAGCCGAGGACTTTGACTTCGAGCTGGACGCGGAAGCTATAGAGGAAGATGTACCCAGATTGGATCCACATATAAGCCGCGAGCAGGTCGTGGAGCTGCGCACCTATGGCTACTGGAGCGAGGAGGCACAGTCGATAAACCTGCCGTCCTACATTCCCACCTTCGTCTTCCTGAGTGGCCTTCCCTTGCAGTTTATGCACGAGTTCCTGCGCATGCGTCTGGAAACCCGACCGGTGCGACCTAATCCCTTGAGCTTGGAACAGCTGATGAAGGAGCTTAGGGAGGGCCTGACCTTGGCCCTGACCCATCGGGAGCGTTACCAGCGACACATCACCACGGCACTGGTGGAGAATGAGACGGAACTGGTGAGCTACATCAACATTCTGAATCACTACGATGCCACGGTTAGGAAGACATTTGAGCTGTACCTGGAGTACATTGACCAGCTGGTCCTGGTGGCCGTGCCCGAGGGCAACCAGAAGTCTGTGCTGGAGAAGGAGTGGATGTTCACCAAGCTCATCAGTCCCATGATCAAGGGCATGCACACCCTGGCCTCCCAGAAATTCTGCGGAATCATAAGCAAGTTGCTAAGGAATATCTCCGATCGTCTGGTGAAACGCACCGTGGAGCTGGACAAGCAGATTGATGGAACCGCCGATAGCGATGACAGCGAGGAGGTGAAGTGGCAGCTCCTGACCATTTGCCGGGAGACGCAATCGCTGCTCACCGTGGAGCGCGAGCGCTCCATAAAGGTGCTCTTCTTCGCCAAGACCTTCTGCCGCGACGTAGAAACTACGGACTTCCATCGCGAGCACTATGAGCATGACGTGGCCAACCAGCAGCATGACTTTATCTGCTCCGATGTGAAGGCGGCGTTCAAGCTGCTCCAACAGGATGTCCTCGAGGTGCGCAACAAGCTGACGGCCATCATCCAAGGCGTCCAGACGCGATGTTGCCTGAGCAACATGCGAGACCTGGACGAGCAGGACAAGCAGGCGGTGTTGTCCCGCACCCGGGAGATCCTCCACCAGGGCTACAAGTTCGGGTTTGAGTATCACAAGGACGTGATCCGGCTGTTTGAGCAGCGGATCATGGACCAAAAGGACAGCGGTGCCCACACAGTGGACCTCGCGCTCGGCATCATTGCCTATGCCAAAATGTGGATGCATTTCGTGATGGAGCGTTGCGAGCGGGGTCGTGGAATGCGCCCTCGCTGGGCCTTCCAGGGCCTGGAGTTCCTGATTCTTGCCTGTGACCCACAGATAACCCAGCACCTGGACGAGCACCAGTTCGAGGAGCTCAAGCAACAGATGGATCGCTGTATTTCGCACGTAATAGGCATTACCTCGGAACCGGAGAAGGTGGCCAAAAAGAAGGCATCGCCGCGCACACGTAAGACCTCATCGCCGGCCACTTCGCGCTCAAGAACACCCACCCGGACGCCCATGTCCGCCGGGATCGTGCTCAATCCCAACACACCGCCACTGCAGTCGCCGCCGTACAACAAACTCCTGCATCCGCAGTTCAGCCTGAAGGAGGACCTCCTGCAGCAGTCTAGTAATACGTACAGCTCCGTGGATAGTGCCGACTATGTGGACACTCCCTGCCAAAGGAGTCCCAACGGGGAGCTGCGTCTGCTGGTGCCACAGACACCGCCAACGCCTGCCTCCTCCGGCAAAGGTAGCATCGAGGGCACGCCACTGGCCTTGCGGCAGGAAAGGGTGAGGGATGCGGTGAACCGCTTGGATCTGGATCTAGAGGAGCGACTACGCGAGCGCCGTCTCATTGGCCAGGTGAAGGCCCTCAACTCCAGCGACAAGGTGCACATACGGGCGCGCAGTGTCCACTTCCGCTGGCATCGCGGCATTAAGATCGGCCAGGGACGCTTCGGCAAGGTGTATACGGCGGTGAACAACAACACCGGGGAGCTGATGGCCATGAAGGAGATTGCCATCCAGCCGGGAGAAACCCGAGCGCTCAAGAACGTGGCCGAGGAGCTGAAGATCCTCGAGGGCATCAAGCACAAGAATCTGGTGCGCTACTACGGCATCGAAGTGCATCGTGAGGAGCTGCTCATCTTCATGGAGCTGTGCTCTGAGGGCACCCTGGAGTCGCTGGTGGAGCTAACTGCCGGCTTGCCGGAGGCCTTGGCCCGCCGCTTCACCGCTCAGCTGCTGTCGGGAGTGGCGGAGCTGCACAAGCATGGCATTGTGCATCGCGACATTAAGACAGCCAATATCTTCCTCGTGGACGGCAGCAACAGCCTTAAGCTGGGCGATTTCGGGTCGGCGGTAAAGATCCAGGCGCACACCACCGTGCCCGGCGAGCTGCAGGGTTATGTCGGCACCCAGGCTTACATGGCGCCGGAGGTGTTTACGAAGACAAATAGCGATGGACATGGCAGGGCTGCCGATATCTGGTCGGTGGGCTGTGTCGTTGTGGAGATGGCCTCGGGCAAGGTGAGTGCTTTGTATGAAAGATAAGGAGTTGGACAGGTGGATTGGGTTGGCTGTGTGTTTGACCATTTCACAACGTTGGGTTATTATTGATAGAGTAATGGAGAAATCAGGGTACAGGGATAGTATAATGTAAGTTTTTGAGAACTAAAAATTAATAATTACATTCGTGTTTTATTTTTTTGATTAAAAATAAGCATAATCAAAGCGCTGATTTCTATTATCTTCATCCATAATAATAATTATATAATATACCTCAATTTTAATCATTATTATTGATAAAATATCAATCAAATTTGAAATAAAAATCATGCCGGAAATGGATAAATAATCCAGGTTATTATCCTTGTTTTTCCAAATTGATTCTAAGTTGATTTTTCTTAATATTAAATCAATTTGTGACTGTTTTTTTTTTTACTTTTCTCTACAAGCTTTAATATTAATTAATCTTTTTCTTCCCTTACAGCGTCCTTGGGCCCAGTTTGATTCCAATTTCCAGATCATGTTCAAAGTGGGCATGGGCGAAAAACCGCAGGCGCCCGAAAGTCTCTCCCAGGAGGGACACGACTTCATTGATCACTGTCTGCAGCATGATCCCAAGCGGCGTTTGACGGCCATGGAGTTGCTGGAGCACAATTTTTGCAAGGTAAGTATCGATTCTAAATCGATTTTTAATCGAATATAAATCGTTATGGTTACATTGAAAAATATGGACGATAAATCGCCAATCTTTTTGATATATCGGACATTAATTGAAACGTTATTAAAAAGAAAAAAAAAAAACAAATATTCATGTTTAATACAATATTATTTTATTCTTAAAATTTTTGGAATATAAAAGTTTTATAGCTCACCGAAATTATCTTTTCTTTTTCGCTTGATCTGTATCCCTAATTTATATTGCAATAATCGAATTAATTTCTATTCCCAGTACGGTCGAGACGAGTGCAGCGGCGAGCAATTACAGATGCAGGTGCGAGGCTCCTTTAGGCGGAATGTGGCGACGAGCTAATTTTCCTGCATCCTAGCTGATGGCTGAGCTGACCCGAAACCTCCGTTTTGTTGTTTTACTTAGCACACCCCTGCATATGATGCATATGCTGAGCGGTGGGCACTTTGTTTAGTGTCTAAATTATGTGAATGTCGATTATTTTAATGGCCACGCCTAGTTTTATGTTGGACGAAATATATACCCCGTATAAAGTAAAGACACAAGCCTGTAATCATACCGTATCCCAAGACATTTAATGCGTAACTAATTGTAATTGCAGTTTAGCTTTTAATTCACAAATCGTAGATCAGCGAAGATGCCTCCCTAAACACCGTACATGGGGTACTCGGTGCTCACAATGGGCATAGCTTCGGTGGGTGACGCCTGCGGGGGTCCGGGGAAGCCAGTGCCTGCGTCGTCACCTGGGGTAGTGCCGACCGGCGGGGTTGGGTCCGGAGGGGCCAGGCTGGAGAAGGCTGAGACCCACGAGGTGCACAGCATGAACGCCAGGCAAAGGCTGAGCAGCAGATTGAAGTCTACCAACGGATTGAAGGCGGTTAGTCCACGGTTATAGCCAGAGGTCTCTCCTTGATTCTACTTACATTTCATGTTGATGGGTTGACAAAGACTGTTAGCCGGACGTCGGCTTCCAGGGGTTTTTATGGCCACACGTATGTGGCCATGGGGATAATCTATATGGTGAATATTAATTAATTTTTTAGGTAACGATATATCTATCTTATCTTTGCACTACCACTTGGATATTAAGAACTGCGCCACCGGTAAGCTGGATTTTCTTAAGCGGAAGAAGCGCTATCTGTTCTTGGAAATATCCACAAAAACAAATGACAAATACTGAAATACCCGAGACAAAGCTATATACAAAACCAGTATATATATTTTATAATTCCCAGGGCCAGATCATTTGTAGGTCAGGAATAATGCTCTGGTCTTGGTTCGCAATGCATTTATTTCACTTTATTTTTATTTGTTTGGTGATTATTTTTGCATACATTTATTGGAAACAAGTCACAAACTTAACGACAAACCGAACGGTAAGGTTAAGGTAACGTAATGGTACACAGATCGAATACAGGATAGATAGTTCGGTTAACAGTTTAGAAGATACTCGATACTCATACATATATAGCAACAATGAACACAGCAACTAGTTTTGTTTATAATGTTATTATGTATCTGGTTGTCCTTTAACGTTTCTCATATATAATTTCTCTTGTAAATAACATACGTATATAATATTTATGTAAACGCTCTTGTAGAATATTGATAGCCTCCCATCACTACCGAAACATATACATTTCACTAACGGTTTGAACAGACAAACATATATATATATATATATAGTTATATCCCTCTTGCTCCCTTTTAGGGGATTTTTGTAAATTTACTGATATGTATTGTTACGTCTCAAGTCTATACGCGTACATGATTTTCTCTAGATATAGATATTCCTCTATGTTTCTGCCTAATTCAGGGTTTTGTGTATATATATGCCATTCAAAAAGCCCTTAGTTACGGTATACCATTTGCTCTCTAAAACACGATTATAATATATATGGAAACATCTCAACAGACACTATATAGTAGTTTATAATTTCAATTAATAAATTCTCAAACGAACAGCAAAGAAATTGCAGTAACAAGCATAGGGGGGTTTAAGTTTAACTATTTTTTTTTTCCTTTTGCTGCTTAGCTTTAGCTTTCGCTGTAGTATCTCTTGTAACATTTATATATAGAACGAATTTGAAACTCAACTCTTGTAACATAAAGTATTGCATACTTGTGGGCTTTCTTTCGAGTTAAAGACGTGGTTATGAGGGTATGACACTGCATTATAAAGATTTAATAATGTATTCAAAACTAATATGCAAAATAAACAAAAATATAATAATTATAATATACAAAAAAAATAAATTAAATAACATTTTTGCATATTTAGAAATTCAATATTATATTTTGCAAATGATATTGATATATATCTTTATTAAATTGTCTCTTTCAAAGTTCTTATAAAACCTTTAATTAATTCACTTTAATACAATGTCATACCCACATTAGTTGGGGTTAAACAAGGTGTAAGCTCAGCTAATTCGGTTAGCCCCGATTTATATATATTATATTTTTTGATATTGCACAAGTAACACACTCAGATATAACAGCACTAACAGTTGGCGCATAAAATGGCTCTAAAACATTTAATTGACTAAAGTTGCCCTATATTTTCCACTACTGGGGGGTTACCTTTGGGGGTAAACGGATATGTAAAGCGAATGGGTTGCATTTATAGTTCTGTCTCAACATGGTAGTGATTGACATTAGTTTTCGATTCCGATTTTCGTTATCGTTCTCGTTCTCGTCCTCCTCCTCCTTCTTGGATCTCCCACCCTCGTTGGGGGTGGCTCGCTTGGTGGTGCTTGGTCACAAATGAAACGCCCGGGCGGTTGCTAGTTACACTTACTTAGATTCGTTCGCTAACCTGCTACAAGGTACATTTACTGATATGTTTGTTGCTCCGACAATCAACGATCGGAGTTCGCCTAGTTCTGGAGGAGATCTCGCATAATGTCCAGTGATTCCTTCAGCGACTTGGCATAGCGCGAGGCACTCGTATCCTCGCAGGCATAGAAGGCCGACACGCAGAAGACGATCTGCTCCGGCTGCGGATTGTAGGAGCATCCGTAGCCGCGGGGCGTCACCGGTCCATAGCCCATAAAGCTGTCCGTGCTGCAGGCCACCTGTTCGGGGGGTTGTTTTGAAGAAGAAGGTATTAGAAGGATCCTTGATTTACTTGAGTGTTTGTATCAAAGAATAAAGAATACCCTTTCTGTATACTGTTTTTAAGCAGATGCCTGGCATACCTGTGCCGCTGGTGAGTGCATAGTGGTTGGTGCTGTGGTGCAAGAATTTAGATTAAGTGGTGCAGAGGTGAAATATCAGTGCAAGGTGGTGCATAGTGACAAGGAGCCACTTGGCTAGGAACCCCAGTTCCTGGCTCTTTACTACCTGACTGGTGGAGAGCAGGAAGCACTGCGAGATATTGTAGGACTCGTCCTTGAACAGCTCATGCATCTCGCCGGTGACGTCCACACTGGCCTCTCGTAGACCCAGGAGTGGAATGTCGATGCCATTACCCAGAATGTTCTTCACCATCACCTCCGTCTGGCGGGCAACGGCGCAGCGGAAGAGCTCACGCAGGTGGTCCTTCTGTGGGTGGGAGCAAAGATAAGCTACTTATTCCACAGAGGTGGGTATTATACGTCGGAATACCCACACTGTAAATGCTAAACTTGACCTTTCGTGACTCCTCCTCATCCTCGCGATCGCTCTCCAGGGGAACATTGGCGCCCTCGCCTTGGCACATGGCCTTTGCCCACTCCAACGCCTCCGTACTGGCGGCTCTGATGCAGTCCACGCGACCCTGAAAAATAATAGTAATAATTTCCAACTAGTTCTGGCATCGGAAAATTTGTTTCTACTCACAAGCAGGAATCTCCGTGTTGACGCACTCTCGTAGGTGGCCACCAGGCGGCCGTAGAGCTTATAGTGGGCCAGTTGCAGGGCCAGCTGGATGTACACATCTGGACTAACCTGGCACGACTTGATAAAGGTCTTGCCATAACCCTGGTAGCGGTACACGTAGAAATCCAGGTTGTCAATGGCCTTGTCCACGCTCTGGCAAGCCTGGCCAAATCGCGCCTGAATCTGCGGACTGATGTGCCACTCGAGACGCTCCGGGGGCGGCAGATGGTGCTGCGGCAAGCCAGTGTCCTCATCCGGATGCTCCTCGATGTTCTTGTAGATCTTCTCCAGCAGCTGGACAGGGGCTATGCCCTCGGAGGTGGAGTGTTCGTAGCACAGGCCCCAGGTGCCATCGGTGCAGATGATGAGCTGCATGGTCTTGTCGAACCACCGATTTCCAGAGTTGTACTCACTGCCGCCGCCATGGATCATCTCGTGGGCCATGTTCGTCTCGTCTCGATCGCCAGCACTGTGAACAGAGGGCGTGGCGCCAGTGAAGCCGCGCGCATTAAAGTTCCCGCCCAGCGGCTCGTCCAGACACAGAACCACCTGGGCGGTCTCAATCAACTCCAGATTGCGATGATTCTGCTCATCTTGTTGCAGCATCTCGCGATCAAGGGCCCAGCGACTCCTCGGTTCGGCTGTGAGCAGACCCACTGGTGCCGGCTTGGCGGGCAGACAGGGTGCATCGCTCAGGACGTACAGGATCTGAGAGGCAATCTCGCTTTCGGACAGCTTGCCCCTATCGCTGGCCTGCAGCACCACGCAGTACATTTGGTTGCGACAGAACACCACCACATGACGATCTTCGTCGGCAAGACGCTCCCGCGACGGCAGATACTGGGAGTCGCGCTCCACGCCCGGACGCCTGCAGGATCCCAGCAGGCGATAGTATTGAGCCATGCATAGTGGTTGGTTCTTCTCCCGGGAGGCAGCGCGCTCCAAGGGCAGCTCTCCGCTGTCTAACATCTCGCGGTGACTTAGGAGGCCATCCAACAGCCGGGCGGCAAAGTGGGCCACATCATGGACTGTTTTAAAGCGACGAGGCGGGAACACCATGCCTGGATTCGAATTAATGGGCAAGGGAATGCGGATGTTCATGTACATGTCGTTTAGCCAGTAGTGGTAGGCCTGAGATGAAATTAATTTGAAATTATTTATTAATGTAAGGATAAAATGAAGGAACTATTAAATTTTTTTTTTGTTATGTTCTACCTGACCTCCAAAAACATAAAATGTAACTTTAATCTCTAACTTTGTTTGCTGGCAAGGGCGCTACATGGAAAAGTTGTTAGAGGATCCGCCTTTTCCGCTGCTTGTTCGACACAAATTCAATTAGTTACGAATTTTGGAACAATTTGTTTTGGGAGCGGCCCATCATCAGTGAAAAAATCACAGAAAAGATCGCTGATACCAGATACTTGATCGTTGATAAAGAGATGCTATAGAGTTGGTATAAATAATGGCAATTGGTGGACTGAAAGAGCAGTACCACAGTTCCCCTGAACATTCACGGATAACCAACGGACCCAGCAACAACATGAAAGGTGCGGGTGCAGGATCTCCTCCTAGAAATGTAAATAAAACTTTATCGATCCTTTTTCAGTGTTCGCCTTAACCCTTTTGAGCCTGCTGGCTTTGAGCCAGGCCCGCATGGACTACAAGCTGCAGTGCACCCGCAACGAGATCGGCATTCGCTGGCCCAGCTACCACAGCAACTCGGAGTACTATGTCTGCCAGAGTGTACGTGGTGACCAGCTGACTGTGCATTGTCCCGCCGGCGAGCTCTTCACCTTCGTCCTGCAGCAGTGCGCCTCTCCCGCTCACTATATCCCAGCCCCACCCATGGATGTCCTGCCCACCGAGGCTCCCATCACCGTTAACATGATCGAGGAGGTGCCGCCAATGATCTCTGGACACTCGCAGCACGAGTCCGAGACCCATGAGCACCACGAACATCACGGACACCACGAACACCAGCCCGAGGAGGAGGAGGCTCTCCCCGTTCCAGCCACCCCTGCTCCGGAGCCAGCCATCGTTGATGTGGCCAAGCCTGTGGCTCAGACTGGCAAGCGTCCCATCCCAGTGCCCCACAAGAAGCCCACGGTTCCAGTGCCCGCCAAGTCCGCCGCTGCTGCCCCCAAGAAGCCCGTGGCTGCTGCCAAGAAGCCTGCTGCTCCCACTCCAGCCAAGGCCGCCAAGAAGCCCACGCCTCCCAGCAAGGCCCAGAAGAAGCCAGCCTCCGCCTAAGAACCACAATTCCACTCTAAACCCAAATCACGACCTAGATCGCCACCGTAAGGCAAGCGGAATGCCATTCACTACTCTAAATAGCAACTTAAAGTAATTAAATATCTAACTTGAAGGCGGCAATGACTTTCTTCTATAATTCTCAGGTTGGGGAACGGTATCGGGAATAGGCTTGTTGTTTCCAGAACTTCCTTATCGAAAGAGAGAAAGAGAGGGAGAGGGTCCAAAAAAATGTTAAGTGATTGCGATTTCTTGTTATTTACGGAATATTTTGATATGCCACACCAACACGATTCCGATAATGTAAAATTATAAGGAAAAGGTGAGGAACAGATAGGAGCAAAATGTCAGAGCTGACAACTATTTGGTTATTCCTTGTTGTTATGGGGTGAGATAAGAATAAAGATTTTAATTATTTGATTTTGTCATAATATTAGAATTACATATATAATGACATTTAATTATGACAGAAAGAAAGATAAACCTTTGAATTTTGGGACAAATTCTTCAAAGATCATCTTCAAAAAGATCTTATCAAAGATTAATAGCATATGTTTTTAGCCTTACTAGGTCCATCATCAGCTTCCCGTTTGCTTACCGACCTCAAGATGGTGATTGACATAAATCGAGAGAGAAATAAATACTGGATATGATATATAGACAATTATATGACACTTAGAATCTTAGGGAAAATATAGTAAAGATTGGAGATCGTAAAGGGATTTGGTAGTATCAAAAATAGGGCTATACGTGGGATTTCCTAAGAACTCCCAATTGTTAAAAAGGCATCCCATGAGTTTCAAGAATTAACATCACCCGCTCTAAGCACTCCAAGACCGTGGTTCCCCAACGTTCTAATGATGTTCTGAAGTTTTTCGGCTGCTATCTGAATGCCAAAAGATAAATTGCCGAGAATTCCAATTCGGCAGAAAACTCAATGAAGTCATTTGCTGCCGGAGAAGATGATCTAGCGGCCATGCTAATTGATATGACACACTCAGAATGAGAGGTTCCTAGTTCCTAGTCTCCACTCAGAATAGTTTCCGCCCACGGCCTTATCTGGGCGAGATTACCCGAAGCAGTTCGGGGCCGCCCTCGCGCGAGTCTAAGGCGCAATTAGGAGCGGTTCGTTGCGTTTGGCATTGCTGATTTCAATTTCGCACCCCGGTCGACAAGACACGAATTAATCTAGCAGCGGCTGATTAAACGTGTCTGACATGGCCCACGGAGGCATAAAAAGGCTTTGGAGCCGGCTGGAGTGCATCAGTGATCGGTGAGCCGAGTTAGCAGCCAGACGCAATCTCTTCCAGTCTCGCAATTAGCCCGAAACTAACAGTAGGAGCCAACATGAAAGCCGGTAAGCAGAGCGGTCCCTTCCCCCCAGAGCGGATGTAGCCAGGATGTAGCCCCTAACTAACGATAATGATTCTCCTCCTCCAAAGTAATCTTTGTGCTATTTGCCGCCCTGGTGGCCGTCAACGCCCAGACGTATCAGCAGTGCTCGAGGACGCCCCAGTACACGGAGAAGATCGATCCCCTCAACTGCCCGACGGCCACCGTCAAGCTGCCGAATTACGAGAACGCCCAGACCTACTATCAGTGCGCCAAGGGTGTGAGCTCGTACACCACCACCCTGACCACCTGCTCCAACAACCAGTACTTCAGCTACGTCTTGCAGACGTGCCAGCCCTGCGACACCTACCTACCGACCACCCACTGCGAGGGCCTGCCCTTCAATGCCACCTGCGTGCCCTTGGCGGCGGACACTAGCTCTACCTCTACGACTACTACGACTACTACAACCACTACCACTACGACCACGGAGGCTCCAAGTTCTTCCACAACGACCACTGTGGCTCCGTCTACTAACACTACCTCGGGTGTTCCTGAGCCTCCCACTGAGAGTCCCTCCGACGGGTCTAGCTCAACCACCGACGACGGCATCAACACGCCCACGGGCACCACCATCAATGTGCCACAGCCTCCGTCTCCCGGTGATAGCGATGTGCCCACTCCTCAGACGCCGGTGCCCACCGCTCCGATCATCAACAACGGACCCCCGGTGGCCAGCGAGGCACCCACTGCCACGTAAACTCCAGACGAGACGAGACGATCGCATCCAAACCCACAATTTTTTGGCTGAATAAAGTGTTATCCGCACTTGGAATGAAATATACCCTGCATTTTACAAATTCTCTTTTAATTTAACAAATTCCTTGAAAGGAAACAATAACCATAAATAAAAAGTGTTAATCAAAGTTCACCAAACCTATATATATTTTATAAATATTTATTAATAAATGATATATAAATTTAGGTGCTCACCCAGTTGTCTTCCGTTTCGCGCCTGTCCAGCAGATATTGATGCAATCGCGGTCCAATGCCCTGAGGATCCGTGAACTGCCGGATGAGCTCCTTGGTCCGCTCCAGCTGGGCCGGTGTGGTGATCGGCTCCAGGGCGCGTATATAGTCGGCCATCGTCTCATCCAGCGGTGGAACGGGCACCTTGGGTAGAGTCTGGATTGGAAAGGAAGAAAAAAAGGGTTGCAAGGGTTTGTAAATTTAATTTTATTTCACATCCACTCATCTTAGACACTCTGGGCTATGCCAGGGCTTTCCCCAATTTTTCCCCCATTTTTCCTCATTTGTATGCATGGCATTATCGAGCGTTGAATGGAAAGTTTCCCTCAACGCAACAACACAAGTTTATGCCCCTGGGAACTGAATTTCAAATCACAAAAAAAGAAGGGAACTGGCAATGCTTGAATCTGACATTGTCCTCAGGCTCCTTGACATTTTTCCTCGCCTAGAAAAGCCACCCTCTATTTTTTATTTGGGAAACTTTAATTGAGAATTCCCCAGTGGATTTGGAGGGGTCTGCATTTTGTGGCAGGTTAAAGTAATACAAGATACAAAATTCAAAGTATATATCACATATTTCAGGACTAACTTTTAGCTAAAAATACATATTTAAATGTCGACCTTGAGCTTGTCTACCTGCTGCTAAAAACACAATTCTGCACTTAACAAAAACCTTGTAGAAACGTTAAAAGTGTCAACATGTCATTGACTTTCGGAGTTTTCCTGTTTCTCGGCTTTCAAAGCGACTGAAATCTTTTTTGTATTCCCAATATCCTGCCGCCTGTCAGTTGTGTCCTTGTCAGTGGTATCCCCTTTACAATTTTGATGTCTAACTCGGCCTTTTTTGGGGGTTGTTCCCCGGGCTGCTGTGCTCTTTTTGCAGGTGAGTGTGAGGCTTTTGTAGGGCTTAGGTTGGTTTTTCAGGTTTGTTTGCCCGGCGAAAACCCTGCCAGGTTGTTGCCAGGACGTTGCCATACAAAAAGCCCTCCTCTTTATTTGCATTTGTAATTATAACAAACAGGATTAGTCTGTGTGTGTGTTTGTCTTTGAATTATTCAAGTAGCAGCCCTCCGCGCAAATATTTGCTGGGGAAAAAGAGTGGGGAATTCGAATTTTGTTGTTTAATCAATTTGTACTCACGTCAGGGAATCCAAATTCGTCCACGGACTCGGCGGTGGAGAGCCATTTCTTCGGAATCGACAGAATCGAGTCTTTCCATCCTAGAGGAACAAAGAAAACAAGCAAAATGCGACACAACGATCGCTGATTAACCACTTGTTGAACACCAAATTAAATTGTTGAGTAATTTGTTAGAATCGTTAGACTAGTTAATCACTGTCAGCGGCCTCAAGTGCTTTCGATGCCGCCAGCGGTATCCGAAAAATACCTATACCCATACCTTATCGATTGAGTGACAGCCCCCCCCCCGAAAAAAATAGAAACCAAAGCAAGATGTATAGCCCATGCGTCATGGAGAATTCAATGGCTGAGCCAACCCTTGATTTGATTTCCCTTATCTTCAGTTGCATAGTTCAAATTACTGCTGCCGAAGTGACCCAAAACCATTTATCGTCTTCCCAACAGATTCGTACAAATTCGTGCAAGTTTGCCATTTATTGTCTTGGCCAGGCTTCCTGCCTCGAAAGAGAATGCAATAAAATTTGGCACCGGAAACTGAAAACTCTCGGGCTTAAAGCCCCGCTCATTTCCTTTTCTAGCTGTCCATCGTGTTGTACATGTGTATGAGTGTGTGTCCTGACAGGCACATAAAAACTTTAGCTGTCATTGCTGTAATTCAACTGTATAAGCACTTCCGGTTGCCATTGCGCTCGAGTAGCTCGAATTTCCGGCATCAGGAGGGGTCTGAGCCATGAGTTGTTATTGTCCACCTTTCAAACACAATTTCACAAAGCCCCATCTTCATTTATCAATAAGGAACAAAGGAAAATTGTAAGGAGAAAATCGGATTGAGCTTGCATTACTTTTTGAGCAAAAAAAATCTTGAGAACTCTTAAAGTACCTCAAAGATTAAAGCTTATTAAATTTCATTATTGCCAATAATATTAGTAAAACTGTTATCAAAATTGCTGGCCACTTGAAAAAAGAGACACTCCAGTGACTGCTTCCCTCTCCTGGATTGAAAAGCTGGGGCCCTTCTCTACCTCTCTAGGAAGGACTATCATAATGTTATTAATAAAAGTTATCCTATGGCAATCGGGATGAAAGGAATAACGACCAGAAACAGGCAAACCGTACTCCCTTTTTACTAAAGGAGCAAGGTTGGGGAGTGGCACGCGTCGCTCCCACAACGATGTCAAATTTAATGCAATTTATTATCCTTTTTTCATTATCTCGCTAAAGATGCCCCCCCCAACCAATCCCACCAACTAGCTGGCGGAGGTAATCACACAATGGGGTCACGTGGCAGCAATTTGGACCTCCGCTCTATTGTTGTCTCTGCCGGAGCAACCACAGAACTGTAACCTGTCTGAACCCAACTCTGGCCAGCTCTGGAAAGTGTAATAAATTGTATTAGGCCGAGCGTCGTTGTGAAATTCAAATTAAGTAATTAAAGCTTGGGGTTGCCCGTGGCTCAGAGATGAGGCTAATGTCGCTTACTTAATAAAGCAAATATCAATTTACAAAAAGTTGAGGGAAACCTATTGGACGCACTCTCCATGTTTCACTTTGATGTTTAAAGATAAATTCCAATTAGGAAGTTTTCCGCTGCCCAGGCGGAAGCGGAAACCGAGAGAAAACATTGTAAATGAAAATAAATGACGGTCAGAAGTTCGTTTACTCATAGTAATGACTGGAATATAAGCTGGGTCATCAGAAAACTGGTTTTAATATTAACTTAAAACCTATGAAAGATGCTAAATATATACTACATATAAAGAAAATGAAAACAAAATATTTTATGTAAAAAGCTTTCATTTAAAAACATAATTTTTGCGTTTAATTTTAAAGTTTAGGTTTCTTTCTTTATTTGGCAAGAGCAATAGGCCCAAAGCTGTTGATGTACAGATATATTTAAGATAAACAAAAAAATTTTAAGAATGTATAAATATATCAATATCATATCTTCAAAATATATGCGAAAGCAAATAAATTGCCAGGGGCATTTCCTTTCACTTAAAGCCATTTCACCTTTCAGGTTTTCCCTAAAGAAATCATTGAAAAAAATAAATCATTGCAGTTCAGACATCTGTTTAATGTGATTTAAAACCTCTAGAGATTTATATTGAGATTTTCTGATGGTAGCGAATTCCCTTTTGGGTGAGATGTTGGTGCTTTTATTCTATAGTTAACATAAAATATCAAGCACCTGGTAATAGACTTTCCATAAAAATCTACATTATGCTTTTCAAATTGGACTAAGCCGCTCTACATCACTTCCAATTATATGCCTTGGCGGAGACACTTTTCCAATTGATTGATTGATGGCCAGGACTTCTGATTAGGCCGACAGCCGGCTAATCAGATATGCATGCACCATTACAAAAGCTGATTCTGTGGAGTTCCGGCTCCGGACTTACCCCCAAGAAATGTATTCTCCCCTTTCCCCTAAGCTGTCTGCTTCAATTTGCTCGTATCTGTCAGTTTTTGTGCCAACTCATGATTCGATTTTGGTTTCGGATCGATATGTGTATGTTTTGATTATAATGACTGAATTTATGGGATGATGATGATGCTGAGAACATTTCGCACATTAACAGGCGAGATTCCCCTGGCTTATGGCCAACACGCCCCTACTTTAAACGCTGGCCAATAAAACGCGTCAGTAAACCGAGGGCTCATTATTAAGCTGCAAAAATCACGCTCGAATTCATGGTATTTGGGGAAGGAAAGGGGCTGCGGCGACAGCCAACTGCTGCCGCCTGTCAGACAATGCGATAAAAATGTAATCCCAATGAAAAATAATGTTTCTTCTGCCGGCATGATTCCAATTTAGCAACAGTCAACCCCGGGACCCTGAGAGCGTGGCTCATTAGAACCAGCCCCGAATAGCAGATGCCAGCAACCGGCGCAAATGAAGGAGAAGAATTTAAAAAGGCAAAACAAATCCGCACCCCAAGGAGGCGGAGCGGGGCGCGACACGGTGCGAATACATAAAACACCCGTCGAACAAGCTGGGATACGGATTCCGGGAGCGGGGGGATTGGGTTTGGTATTGGGACCCCAACCGCAAACTGGGACTGGTACCAGTCTAGGCGGTGGTGGCAGTTCCACAGAGAGAAATTTTGTAAGGAGAATCAGGAAGAGTTTAAACATTGAAGCAAGATATGTAAATTCATCGACAAAAATATAGCGCCCAAAATATGCTTAATTTTGATATATATACAATTTTTAATTATGTTTTAGAAATCCTTTAATTTTTTTGAGTGCATGGGGATGCTGCCGGGGTCATAACATTGTCGGATGTCGGAACAAGCGATGAATGGCCGACTGAATGAGTTTCCTTCTTTTGTTCGGTTTGGCTGCTCGTAAAGGGCTTTATTCCCTTCAAGGGTGGATCGGAATTGGATGCTGGAGGGGGAAAGGCAGGCATGTCGTCTCTCCCGTCGCACGCACATCGCAATTGAGCTGTAAATCCTTTACGGTCTTAGTGCTGTTGTTTCACGGCGGCCACTCGCCGTCTACGTTGCGCTTTTTGGTCCTTCTCGTTACCGTTATTTTCCTTCTTTCCGCCGCAAATGCCTAGCATACTTTTGTGCGCCAAACCCAAATTAACTGCCGCATTGAGGCATTGAAAATTCCTGTAATTGTTCGGATTGAAACAAGCGGAAAGCGTAAATTGCTTACGTATTGTGGCGGAGATTGCAACTGGGGGCAAGGATTCCTGCTGATTTGGCTGACTTGGCCTTAGGTTGCGGCTTTGCGGTTAAGCTGTATATATTTTTTAACAGATACACACAAGATATGTTACCTACCAGGCCCACCTTCCCTTCTTGTGGTTGCTCTTGGCCTGGGGCCATCCTCCCCGTACATAAAAAGAGGGAAACTTTTTGGCCCAGCCTCCGGCTCTGGCTGTTCGTGACTCAGGCCAAAGTTGCTAATGGAAATTGCAAACATAAAATCATTTTCCACACAAATTTCTGGCCCCAGGGCACGCACATACCCCAGCCTTGGCAAACACATGATGTAACGTTGGGGGTGATGGAAAAGTTTCCTTGCCACCTGGTCACAAACCTGGCTGTATACCAGATTCTTATCCTTCGTTCGTCCCTGAAACATTAGCTAATTAATTGCATTAATCGTTAATAGATCGGACGAGCTGTCGCTCTCCATTAAAAGACAGTTTTTTTTTCATGGTTAACAATTATATTTCAATAGTACATGTTTTTTTTGTTTGTTGTGTGTGTTTTGTTTATTCCTGTGTGGCTGTGGGTGTGTTTGGGGTGTGTGTGTGGCTCTGTAATAATGCATTATCGTTCCTCTATAGCTCATGCCAATATCATCTGTATTCGTGGTATGCTTTAATATACTCGTACGTTCGGTTATATTTCGATTCATTATTCATAACATTGCCTGTATCTGTATCTGCAACCTGGCATTTGCAATTTGAAATTCTCGCTTGATGCAGTTCAAATACATTTATAAATTCATAGACCGATGTGGGAGTTGTGTGTTTGTTTAGCTGCGTATCCTTGAAGTGAGTTACAGAGTTCGAGTTGTGTGTATTTAAGCTTTCCACTGCTATGTAGCTTCAATTCTCTCAAAACTCTGAAATTAACTTCAAGGATACTTATACATTAAAGGCTCGGCAGGCCGAGGCAGTTCCTGATTATTTGCCATCTCGTATAGTATACATTTGATTATTGAGGATATTTTGGCTCTAGCTATGTAAAGTCATCGAACATCGATATACGCACTCGTGTTTTTATATGCATAGCACTTAATTTGTATTGTTTTAGGTTTGTTTTTAGTTTTCGGGGATAGCAGAACGTTGTGATATTCAGATACAAACATAATTACGTTTAGAATATAGATGGATAGACTTGGAAATTGAACAGCAACGTCACAGAACTGGGGTTTTGGATACTGGCTAAAATTGTAGGTATAGGTTTTTCATCTTTCTGGTTTTTGCTTATTTTTTTTTTTATAATAATTTCCACTGTTTATCGTAATAATAATTATTGTTTAAATATGTAACACAAACGTCTATAACATTAGCCGAAACAAAGTTGCAAAGACTTTTTGTAATAATTTAGCTCTGTACTCTATAATATGTATATGTACTTGAAACACTTTGACTTTGACTCTGACTTTGACTTTGACTCGAAACTAACAATATATATGCCTTATATACAATACAAAACTGAACTCTTTGGGGTTTTCACTTACAAACTCATTACATTTCGTCTAGGGTTTACAATTAAATTTTCTAAAACGTTTCTTCACACGCACAACACATAGAAACTGTCGGAGAGAGGCATCTTCATCGTCATCAATATTATTTCTCATATGAAAAAATATGAAATTATTCAAGTCTGTGTGCTACCATCGGTAAGGTAAAATCCCCTATATCATATAGTAATTGTTAGATATTAAAAATTAATTTGTTTTTCATTCATTAATTATCCATAGCGTTTAATAATTCATAATTCATATATAATGCTATATTGAACATTCAACACTTGTAATACGCCGAGTATAACCATTCAATTAACTGCTATCGTGTTTTGTAATTCATTTCATAAATGTATATATATTTATATATATATATATATTTTATTATACATCGTTTTCTTAGTAACACATCTAGTTTATGCGTTCCATTTGCTCTTAATCCTTTAGTAAGTTATTACACATTGCCGGCACACTGCTGAGGATCCTTAATCCTGCTCCTTGACTACATTATGTGATGGTTATATCTTAGCAGTAGATAAATATATAATTAGAAAACCCAAAACTGGAAGATTCATATACATGTTGCGCTCTACCAAAAACGATGGTTAAAATCTATTGAAATCTTGACGGCTTGAAATTTAATGTAACATCTATCTACAGCCAGCCCTGAAAGCCTGGGAAAGTTTTAAACCTTTAAAGATTATAATTTAAACATTTTTGGAAAGTATAAATATTGAAATTTAAAGACTTTGCAGGGTTGGTTTTTTTAGATGAAACTTAAATAAATATTGCTTTTTGAGGTTTCATTAAGTATAATTATGTTTCGGTTAATTGTTATTAAAATTCTATTGTTAGCTACTTAAATAAACCTTCTATTTATAATATGTTACATAATGATATTTATGCTTTTTATTGACTATATTAATTGTTCTGGTTTTTATGGTTTTGCTTCTCATATATATATGTATATAAATATGTAGGTTGCTTTAACACTTTTTATCTTTTCGCCTCTTCGTCACCTGTCCTTCGTTTTAATTGATACTTTTGATGGGAGATTTTTTCATGAGTTTAATTCATATTATAGCTAAGAGTATTTCTATAGTTATTCCTTTTCATTTTGTAATTATTTAAGGTGTTAAGTGAGTGTCGACTAATTAAACATAAATTAAATTAGGTATTTAAAGACCTACAAATAATAATATCATTTTAAATAGGAATAATCATACCTAAAGAAACCATATTTTGGTTTAAAAAACAAAATGTAAACCAAGCAAACCTTAGAAACAGACAACAATTTTGTTTTGCTGGGTTCTTGAATAGAAAAATATTTCTTAATATTTTTTTAACTTAAAGGTATTGTAAATAAATATATATAAATCATAATATATCTACAAAAATCAGTGCATTTCTGTAAATTGCTTTCGTAATTCATAAGATACACATATTCTCATTCTTTCTAGTCAAGTTTCTAGTTCCGAAATGGCCGTTTCACTGATATGTTCACGGATGCTGAAAGTCTGTGATATATATACTCGTAAATAACTGACAAATTTACACATAACTTCCTCCATATACGCATGCTTAGTTGTATACAAAAGATCAGTTGGCTTATAAAGATACGTAATAAATCTCTCATGAGATTCAGCTAAAAGGTGTATAATATATAGGGGCCGTAAAAGGGCCCTCAAAAAGTGGTGTGCAGTCGAAACGAATCAAAAATATCGTACTGTATTTATCATTATCCATAGGTTTATCTCTTTATCTTATAGACAAGGTACACACATTTATATATATGCTATGCTATCGAAGAGCTACTATGGCGGCGGTCCCTCCTGATCGGCGGTCCGCCCGATTTGCTCATAGAGTCGACAAGCAAATAATAATTGATTGGTAGGTAAATATGAAACATGATCTCTGTTTCCATTGGTTGGTTTTATGTATATATATATATAACCTATGTACATGGTCATGTACGGGCCTAAAAGTAGGGTGTATGCCACCGATATGATACGATATATATATATGTATGTAGGTGTAGACTAGTAGCAATAAGTAATATCACTTTTGGTAATTTTAACAGGCGAGCCATCGAGACTCTGATATGTATCGTTACCTTGGTTGTGTCTTATGTTAAATAACGTTGAACAGAAAATATTTTGCAAACCGGAAATCATATAGCCCGGCTGGCCGGGAATCCATTTCCGGCCCAACAACCGCCACAATGGCACCCGAAAGAGTTTACTTTTTTGGTTCCGATTTGTGCAACTTTTGATATGTCTGCGATATGGAATGCCATTGCCTGTGATACGGCGGTCTTCGGGCGAAAATGGTCCGCTGGCCAGCCACGCCGCTTATGGCTAACTTGTATATAGATATATCTATATATATGCGTGTGTATATAATATCTGATACATATATGTCTGTATATAGTATGCAGGTGTATATGTATTTGATATGGCGGGAGTGCTGTTTCCCCTTAAAAACTAACTAAGCCTAGCTTTGGTTTCTCTAGCTTCACTGACTGATAGACACGAAAACGGCTGCATGAGTACTGAGTATAGGGCATAGGCGACCCGATCGGGTCGCACTATATAGCTGCTATATATGCTGATGCATATATGCGAGTTGTCAGCGATGGGGAGTACTTCTTTGGTTAACCAAGGTGAGGAGGGTCTTTATTTCTTTCAGGGAAAATTATTTTATAATGCCAATTTGTGACGAAAAAGTGGTTTATATTCCTTTGATATTTTTTAACAGGTTTTTTTTTACAAAATATCAATAGACTATCTAAAAGTTGTAGTGCAAAAATACCGTATGTCGATACCCATCTTGAAAATTATAATGCCTTTATGTATATCCCTTTTCCTGTTTCTAATTTTTGAAAAATTCCTCTATTAAATAAAGAAATAAGAAACCTCTACGTCTAATTGAATCTTTAAATATTTTAAAAAATTTAATTCACCCTCTTCTATCCCGGGATAACCAAAGAGTCCCCTTCCCATCACCACCTTTAGTTAGTTGCTTCAACATTTCGTGTATAATACAAAACTTGGTGCAGTGCAAGGCATTAACTAGCTGCTGTATTAACTATCTGCATGTTATGCTCGTTATAGTGTACGTACCACTTGCCTATATGTCTATTATACTATATATAAATGTAGGTATATGTGTTTTGTGTAGAGTATATATATAGTTCATATGTCCAACAGATATAATCGAACGGAATGCACATGGAGATGCGCAAAAGAACACGTTTTAAGACCGGGCAACAGTTTAAAATCCTTGCCTAAAGGGATTCGCTGGTCCGCCAGGACCTCTGCTCTGCGGCTGCTGCTGTTGCTGTTGCTGGAAGGGATTGGCCACTCGCGGCTGTCCCTGGCTGGCATAGCTGCCGCCCTGCTCCTGGTAACCCGGCTGATAGCCCTGATCCTGCTGATAGCCACCCGATTGCTGGTATCCCTGCTGCTGCTGGTAGTCGTACTGCTGGTCATCCAGATTGGTCTCCTGCTCCTGCTGGTACTGCTGCCCGTACTCCAGGTGGTTCTTTACGCCGCCCTCCACCGGTTTCTGGTCGTGCATGACGTAGGTCTGGTACTCCTTGTTCGGCGGGTCCTGCATGAGGATGTTGGCCTCGTTCTCGAAGGGTTTAAAGTCATAGATGTTGCGCAACTTGCGCAGCACGGGCACATAGGCCAGGTTTGAGAAGGCGATGAGAAAATTGAGAGCCGTGAAGCCAATGGCCTCCACCACTCCGCCGGCAATGATCGGTCCTACGGCATAGGCAATGGAGTACGAGATGTCCGCGATGGCATAGATGCTGCCATATACAGACACGTAGCGGACGTCCACCAGGTAGCCCAGTGTGGGCAGCAGGGCCGTGTCGATGAGGGCAATGCCAAAACAAATCACGCAGATGGGCAACATCAGCATCTTGTAGCCACTGCAGAAGGGGATAACGAAGCAGGACAGACCCTCCAGGGCCAGTCCACCGGCGGCCATCAGCCACTGATGCTGCGGATATTTCCGGGCCATCTTCACTGTGATGACCACGCCCAGGACGTGCGGGAAGAAGGCAGGCAGCCACACCATACCAATCTTCCAGTTCTCCGTGGTCATGTTATCCTCCATCCACAGCGAAATGGTTGGCTCCAGGAAGGCCAGCGCCACATTGGACATGGTTAGGGCCCCGGCGCAGACAGCGATGTAGGGATCCATGAGCAGACGCCAAATGGGTATCACCTGGTCCTGCACTTCCTTGCTCTGCTTGATCTGCTCCTTGAAGGGCTTCATTACCAGCAGCAGCATCAGGCCATCCAGCAGGCAGACCAGTGCCAGGATCAGGAAAGGCACCTCCTTGCCAGCGAACTGATACAAGGCGCCGCCAAATGGAGGTGCCACCAGGCAGCCGAAGCTGATAAAGGCCAAGGCAATGCCCAGGGCCTGCGAGCGCTCGTTTTCCTCGGTGAAGCGATCGGCTATCATGGCGAGTCCCGAGGTGTCCGCAAAGGCGGAGCCGGCTCCCTGCAGCGAGCGGGCAAAGAACAGGACGCTGTAGCTGCTGCCGCAGGCGAAGACGGCCGTGGAGAAGAACATAATGGTGAGACCGATCATCATGGGTATATCATAGCCAATCTTGTCGATGAGACCGCCCGAAAAGGGATTCACCATCAGCTGAACGATGGCTTTGGAGGCAAACAAAATGCCCGTGGCAGAGTCCTGGCCATGGTGGTCATGGTGCACAGGTATGATCTTGCCTGTGATATTATCCCTTAGAGGCGGAGGCGTGGGCCCATCGTCGAAGCTGCCTATTTCACGCAGATAGTCGGGTATAATGGGCACTATCACCATATACAGCATGTTGTCCAGCAACAAGGCTATGGACACAATAACCAGGATGAGACGGCGCTGATTAACCGGCTCCTGGATTTTCTCCCACACGATGTCCTTGACTTCGCGCACCTCGAGGTTAATAACAGGTATTTGGAAGGCGCCCGCCATGTTGATTGCTTCTTATGGATAGTTGGGGAGTACGATATGTCCCCTTTATCTGGGGGTTTCCTTTCTTTTGTGAATCTGTTTTGGTTTGTACTCAAAGTGGCCTGGCGTCGATCATGGTCTTAGCCGGAAATCGCTTAGCACTCGCTACAAATATGGCCGTTTCCGGTTATGTTTCGGGCTTCCGTTTTCTTTCTTCTCTTTGAGGTGGTTTTTCGTTGCTTGTGGTTAACTGTGTTTGCCTTTGCTGCTGTTGCTCTTGCTATTGCTGTTGCTGTTCCTGCCGCAGTGTGGTTTTACATGTTTTGGTGTAGTTGTCGGAGTCGGAGGTGTACGAGTTGTTGGCATGCCAGTGAACAACCTTTAACGACACAGAAACAAGATTTCGTTAGTCTTTTCGTTTATTTTATTTTCTCTGCCACTTGCAGCAGTTTTTGTTTATTTGTTTTTTGGTTTCCCAAGATCTATTACTCGCCCTCTCTCTTAACTAGGTTTTAGTTTATTGTTAGTTGGGATTATTTTATGATTGAAATGTTGTTTCTGTGTTGCAAAAGGCTGCCCTGCTGGTGAACAGAGATTGTATTGTATTAGGTTTAGTTCGTGGTATTGTCACAACAGCATTATAACGCGTTACTTCGATCACACAATATTCTTATTGATTTTTTTTAATTTTACTTTTTTTTTTTGTATTTTAATCGAGGGACACACATTTCAATCATAAAACAAATACCGAACAAGTACGAGGACATTCTACAATTAAGTCATCGCGTATTTGCGTAGGTCTACGTTGGCTCTAAGGGCGGGGAGCAATTATTTTAATTGGATTTGTGGTGGGGTTTTGAGCTAAAAAAGAAACGAGTGGAGAGTCCTCAGAGTCACGTGGTTCCACTCATCGAAGCTGCAATTATAATTATTGCTTTTGGCCCACACATACAAACACAAAGGACGCCCTCGACTAGCACGCAAGCAGCAAGGACTCGGAAGGAAACAAAAGGAGAGTGAAAGTCCACCCACGCAGAGTCTTTAGCTGGAATTTTGAAATTTTCTTTTGCGGAGAAATGTTAGCTTATCTTTGGCAGTTTTTATCCAAATCCAAAAGTAATCACAGGACGAAGGATAAAGCGTTTTAAGCAGTTTCCTTCTTTAAAACAAATGTTTTAGTTGGAATAATAATTGTTAGAAAAGGGATTCATATTTACATAAATAATAGTATTACTGTATCGTTTTAAATACGTTTTTCTTTGATTTTATTTCCTTTGTTTTTTGGTGAAAGTGACACCCCTGGTTCCCATACCTGTTCATTAGGGCTTCATTTCGTGAAATTTAGGTGTAGCTGAGCCAGCGCTATCAATGCTGATCTAATTTCAACATTTATCTACCTTGTAGCGCTCGACGAGCAGCCACCCCGCGCCTTGCTGGTAAACATGAAAATGCGACGTGTGCTGGGTATAAATATGAGAGTTGCTGCCCACATTCGGAATCCCACACCCTCCGCAGTCCTGTGCCCTGAAAGCCGCCCCCTTATGAGCCCTATGCGAGACGTAACAAAAACATTTCGTTTTATCATTAAATTTTCATGACCACGTCCGTGTATCTGCCCCAAAACCTCCCCGGCAACAACCTTGGGCCTGGTCTCCTGATCGAGGGCGGCGGCACTCACCCTCGTATGTGTGTGTGTTTGTAAGGTAACAGCCCCCGGGCTACCCATGAGTCAATTATGTTGTACGCGTTGGTTTTGCTTTTATTTTTCCATCCAGCGACTTTAATTTTTGAGTTTTCTTCATGCCTGAGTACTTTCCCCTAGCAACAATAACAGGAGGGAGGCCCAGGTCTGGTGGGTCTGGTGGGTCAGGTGGGTGGCCGCACTTGACCCTGAGGGTGGTGCTGGTGGTGGTTGGCAGGCCTTTATATCAGCACCAGGGGTTGGTCGCCTGCAGCTGCTCGAGTCAAGTGCAGAAACGTGTGCCTACATGTTGATTATAATAAGGCCCACACCATAGATATATGTAGAATTCTATGTATTACGTGAATGTGTTTGAAAAGTAATTATTATCATGTACAGGAAATATAGCCCCACAAACTGTGACCAGTTCGATAATATGGAGTGGAATAATAATTACAATACAGGGGATGTACCGGAAATTGCAGGGGATTTAAAATAGCCAGAAATATGCTACAAAAACTTGAATATTTTACTTTAATATGTCCTACCTAATACTTTGTAAATTGCTTCAAACTATTACAGTTTCTTGCCGATAAATCATTTTATTACATAATTTGTTTGGTTTTAAATTTCTAGGAATTTTTATGACACCTCTTAGAAAGGAGAAATATAAGGATTTTAAAGAACTTTCTCTATTTTCAGATCTTTAAAGGAATATATTTCTTCTAATATATTCAAACTTATTCCTCTATCACTCCACTCCCCAGACAACTGCATAAACACACACCCAATTATGCGTTATTCCTTGTGCATATATGTTTATGTATAAGCTATAGCAATTTATATTTACGCTTTTATAATTTTATTGATTTTTACGCCCTGTCTGGCAAAGCTTCGTGGACAGCTGACGAATTTCCCAGCCGGATGCATAAACATTTATACAACATTTTCGATTCAGTCTTCGTTTTGCTTTGAGTTTCATTTTCATTCCGCCCCAGTCAAAGGTCTAGCTCCAGCCCCAGCCCAGTGGCCTTTGTTCGGCCCTCCTGCTGGGGGATTTTGGGCTGCTTTCATGTTGCTCTGTGGGGTCGAGCGGCAACTTCCGACTCCGGCTCAATTAGCAGGCCAAGCGTTCATCTTTTATGCAGCTTCCACCGCAGTAAATTATGACAGCCCATGTGTTTGTTTTCCTGGGCCAAATTTAGTTTCTACTTTCTGCTTCGTTAATAATAGACTAGCTGTGGGGGTTGCTTCAGGTGCCCAGGAATGTTATGCCACAATCTTGTTTTAAATAAATGGATAAAATATCAGAAAAAAAACAAGCAGGACTTTAAAGAGATTAAGAATTAGGTAGGAGTCAAGGATAATATTTTTTGTTAATAAATGTACAATATTTGAATACACTGATAGAGCTCAAGATTCTGTTCCAAGACATTTCTCTTCACAAAAAGTAAATAGTTTCTCTTGAATATTAACCTTACTTTAAGGCAAATTTTGAAGCCTTTTAGTAAGACGAAATTTAATCTTCTGCCAGACAACAAAGTGCAAAATGGGATCTGGGCCATCAATTCACGAGTTTTCTCTGCTCAAAAAGCCCACCCACATCTCACGCCTTCACATCAATGGCAGGATGATCGTCGACTTTTGCCACCCGCAACCGTAACCCTGGGAACATCCGCAGCTTGCTAGCTGCTCTCTGCTCCTGTCGTTTTTCACAAACCTTCCAAGGATGTTTGCTTCCGAGAAAAGAAAGGAAAAAAGGGGGCCACGAATGAAATTACATTCGCTTTTTCAGCCTGCGACTCTGCGGGGGCGTGGACAGCTGGGTGTGCCTGCCGTCTGTCTGACGAGGTAATCAGCGTAAAATACAATTTCATTCTCCTGAAGGGTAAGACATAAAAAATACAATATCGCCCGTGTCGGGGGCTGTTTGCATTTGCAATGAGATGATGGCAACGTGAGCTTTGGCGCTTCGCCATGGCTACCCGGGGCTCCAAAACGAAGGCGTATATTCTCGTATACCATTAAAATTAATAATCTAGACCATTTGCCATTCTGTTTTTGCTCTTACATTTGAGGGGGTTGAAAGGGGGCTCGGAACGGGGATCTTAAATAAACAGCAAATAAAATATATCATAATATTTATGGTAAGCCGCATTTCGCACGCAGGCACTTGACAAAAGGCAGCGGAAAATCCTCACAAGTGTTCATAAGGCCAGAGATATACCATCATTTCTCCCTTGGACACCCCATCGAAAAGTTGGGCTTGTAAAACTCCCCGCAAGTGGTGTAAGCTGCTTTGTTCAAGTGGTGTGGCTCTTCGAAGGGTTGAAGTGTACTGGCAGGGGTCAGGGGTCGAAATTCTACACTGTTACTAAAAGGGAATTTACTAAGGAATATTCTATACTTTAAAAATATTATAACACAAATTTTGTGACATTCTTTAAAGCCTAAAAATAAAAAATATTAAAAGCTCTTTCTTTTATTTGCTCCAAAGGAAATAATAATAAAAGAAAATATTTTAGAAATTTTACTTTTAGAAAGTTTTACGTTTAGATGAAGAGTTTCTTTCATTGCTAAACACCGATAAGTATCCTTTCCTCTCCTTTAAAATATAAAATATAAAACAAATTATTAATTTGCAATCTATCTTCTCAGTGTAACAGAAAAATCGAATTTGTAGGAAGTTCACCTCTCCCCACGTGGCTGTGTTCGGCGGCGCGTAAGCCACGTATGGAACTCACTTCGTTAGCTGGCGCCGGCACCTGAGCAATTGGCTCTAATGAACCGTGGTCAGCTAATGAGCCTCCACTTACTGCACTCTTCGGTGGGCTCACCTTGGCCACTCTTGATCGATTAACTGGGCGCCGCAGTTGCCTCGGCTACCTTAACCCTCTTCCGTCGACCAAATGCCAAGTGTTTGTCTTGGTGACATTTCTGTTTCAAGTTTAATTGTCTTGTCCGTTGTCTTTTGACGCAATCGATTGCATGAGTTTTCTAACTGGGTTAGCTTAGCTTGGAATACTTTTTAATTGCAAAAGTTTTTCCTGGAAACACTCACAAAATGTCAATTTCGGTTGTGGATCCATTTCAAGGGAAACGTGTTTGCAGCCACCCCCTCTTATAGCTCTTATTTTATGGCCTTTATTGCTGCTGCTGTTTTGCTTTTATCAACTCCCAGTGGACCAGCAGCCACTTAGCCCGAGGATCCGTTTCAAACTTGGTTTCCCGGTCTCCTGGTCTCTGGGCTCCCTTGTAGGATAATAAAGGAGCACACAAAAGGCAGAGCAGAGGCGCCATTTTGATGCCACTGTTCTTGTACCACGGGGCGTATGAGCAGCCCCTTTAGTGGGGGGCTGCCCATAAATCAAAACATTAACTGGGCGTGGCCCTAAAGACGGGGAGCTCTCTATGGGGAGGAGTGAGTGCCAAATGGTTTCCTCTTACCATTGCCCGTGGGTGGGTTGCGTGTCTAATGTCCTTGCTATTCGCACACATGGCCAGTTTCCATCGAACATCCCTTTTTTGGTCAGCGTTTGAGCGTTGGATTACAAATTGATTTGCACATAAATTACTTGGACTTGCAACACTTATTGCCAGTTTTTTTTGGTTAGGAGATGAAAGTAATTTACCTTTAGGGAGCTCTTTTTTCAGGACCCTTTTACACCAAGAGAAAATATAGAAAATTGAACAATGGTTATCTAGTAACTTCCTTTCTAAAATGCAGTGATAGTTCCTGAAATATAATTCGCAAAGCCATGAAAAATCTTCCTTTGAAATCATCTATCGATAAACCATTTAGAACCCAAAGTTATATAATCCTAAAATCTACCTCCTTGTAAATTTTACAATCTTCATAATCTGTTTTCGTATTCAATATCATCTCTACACATTTTCTTGTAGTGCAATTTTGATTAATGGGTGCGATAGTCTAACTGTTCTGGCAAATTGCTAATTTCCAGCATCGAACTCTAGGCCTAAAATGTAACCATTTGTAGCTGGGCAAAAGCGGAGCAATCAACAACACCATCAGCGACCGGTTTACGACGACTTTTGATGTAGCTCTAGCTTCAGTTTCCCTTCCCTTTGCCATTTTCCCTTACTTTCCCCAGCTCCTTGTCGCATTTCCCCCCTCCTCGGCCTGTGATGGCTCTATGCTGGCAACCCTCGAGCTGCTGTCTTGGTCCGGGTCCTGGCCCTGGTCCTGGTCCGTTTTTATCAGACAGCATCAAGACAAATGCGTTACTTGTTTCTCGTTTAGCTTATTACGAGCTACCTTCCTGCCAGCCTTTGTCTCTGTTCCATCCCCTCGGGCCTGGCTGGAAACGGGGAAACGGAAGGAGGCTGAATATAAAGGGGATGCCCAGCAACCCCCCTTTTGTTTTGACACGAAACCGCTATGAACACATCAGCGCTACAAACGCGTCTACAAGGCAAACAATCTAATGACGACAACCGCCGCCGTCGTCGTTGCCTGTTTGTGTTTGTGTGTGAAATTTATATTTATTGCCTTCATTATGCAGCAGCCGCAGTACCAGAGAAAATTGCTTCGCTCCGGCAGGTGGCTCCTTGGTGGTATGTCAGTGGTGTCGGTCGTCGGTCGTCGGTCGATGTCACTTCCTCGATGAACTCTAACCAGACCACGGGACTAGACCATCGACACTTTCCTCCAAGACAAGGCTTGTAATGATTTAATGGGGCAACCGACACAAATTTGATTAGTCTGTCCAATCTAATGATGGCAGTTGTTTTGGGATTCTATCTACTAATTGAGTGGCTATTTGTGAACGCAAAACTGACTGAAAAGTACTTAAACTATGGGAATTTTTAGAGTTTTTGATCCTAAGATTTCTTTGGATCATAGGAGATTGGGCTTTTTCAAAATTTATAAAATATTAGGCAGTAAATTATATCCTTTAACGATTTTCTCGAACCTTACTGTTAAGTATAATTTTCGATAATTTATGTAGTATATTCAAGAATTTCCTAGGAATAGTCCTAGTTCTTATTTTCTTAGGAAGTCCATTAATTTAAAACTTAAAAAAAAGGTTAAACTCAAGCAGTAAAATTTGTATTTCAATCTAATTATTTTACTCCAATGTTTATAAAATGTTTTTAGATTCCATATAAAAATGATTTAAATCATCAATACAATTACTTATCACCTCTTACGAATGGTAATAATTCAGGTTAAATAATTTTATAATATTTAAAGAGCCATAAAATATTATCCTTGTTTTTCCCCGCCACCCAAGGCACCTGATTTTCCTTGGAAATTACATAAGAAGCGTTCAGCGTTCGAACGGTGACTGTTCCATTCCGAAACGTTCCATTGAGCGAAGTGAAACCTGCCAACCTACGACGAACCTACGAGTTTCGTTCTTTTTTTGGGGCCATAAATAAAATGTGTCTACCCTGTGAAATGTGGCAAGTGGCGAGGAGAGTCTATACATACATATATATGAAAAAGATATATACCTAAGCATGTCCAGGGAGGGGGCTAGGGCTGGGTAGGTGGTCGGTGGTATATGCCAAAGGACAACGCTGATGGGCTAGAAGCCTTTGAGGACGAGGACGAAGCACTTGGCAGACTCAAGTGTTTGCGGGCGAGATGTTGTTTAATTTTAATTATATGCCCACTCGGAGATGGACACGTTATGCAAGCCAGTGCCAGTGATGGTCACCTGGTGGTCCTCAGTTGCTGCTCACCTGTGTCGCTCGGTGTGATGTTGCTCAGGCGATGGGTGAGGAAGCCGCGCAGGTTGGACACGACGCGCTGGGGCGAGTTGGGCCCGCTGCCAATGGAGAAGCTACGCAATTTCGAGAACAGGGCGGCGGATTCCGCGCCACTGCCCGCGGCGCTGGTGCTGGCCTCGTTGGACGCCACGTTCGCGACTTCCTGGACTACCTGGTCTGCCTCCTGGACGGACGACTCCTCTTGTTCCTGGTCAAAAACGCGCGCGAGGTGTTATGTAAACGGAGCGCGCGCGATAATCACACCAAAAAGCACACACCGGACACACTGACACTCTACCCGTCAAGCACTCTACCCGTCAACGCTCGCTCTGCACACTTCGCTCGGATTAGCTCTGGCTTGGCTTTGGGTCCGTTCGCTGTGGCTCACAAAAAGAACTGGGCTCTGGGAGCTGCTCCGGGGAGTGTTTCCACGACTACGGCGACTAACGGCAGCAGCGTGCGTTCAGTCGTCCGGGCAGGAGCAAAGGTAACTTCTGTCTGACAGCCCAGCGCCACGGGCAGAGCTCTCGCCTCTTCGTTCGTTTTGTCGGTATTCATGGACGACGGAGTGCGCCTGGAATGTTGTGCCGTTCGGAGAGATCTGCTCCCCGCCACTGCCGTGCGCCTTCCATGGCGCAGGATACATGGCGCATGCGCCTGCTCCACCGCCGGGCATCCGGCCAATTGGCAAAGGCTCCTGTTTTTTCTCCCCTTCCTCAGTCATGTTGTGAGCCTTCCGTTCCCAGGCCCATTACTCTCGCCCAGTTGAGCACATTTGAATAAAATTCTATTCGCGTCGTGCGAAGAAAATCAATTTCCTTCGGTAGCACAAGCACACTCTCTCTCACCTGTCGGTGGTCGCTGGTCGGCGCTGTGCTTTTTCCCTCATTTTGTCATTGCGTGCTTTTTCGTAGCACACATTTCGGGGCTTATGTAAGGTGGGTTTGGGTTCTTAGGGACTCATTTGCAGCAAAGGAAGAAAGAATTCTATTTCATTTGTTGTATTTTATTTTCTTTTTTTCCCACACACACATTCATATACAAAATGTAATTATTTTACAACAACGTTATTCCCTGGACGGCAATCGTGCAATTTCTTTGTTAATTTCAGCAATTGCTTGGACAATAAACAGACATTTTCCTCACGCTCAATTGGTGGTCATAAGAAGGCAAGGGAACTGGGAACGATAAGGATTCTAGGGAGCCAGGAACTTTATTAATTTCTTAATTTTTTTACTTAGGAAGTAACTTTAAAGTTTAAGTTATGAAAGAGTAAAAAAGTACTATAAGTTGGTCAAATCCCACAAACTTAATTTAATTTTAAGCAAACTTTCTAATTTCCTTTTTAAATAACTTATTAAGTCAAAACAGAACCCCTTTTCTATATCCACTTCTTGCCCTTCCTAGTTTTACTCCACAAACACAAATATATCGTATTATTTCCTGTATTTTGTTTATTATTTGCACACAATAATGTAATTTTTTTACAGCAACACCCACACAAAACCCTGGGCAATTTCTTTGTTAATTTCTGCAATTGCCCGAACAATAAACCGACGATTCCCACACAACCTATCTACCTCAACTTACCCCCCAAGTGGAGCCAACAATGAGACTGGCAAACAGCTTGGTCACTGATTAATATCTGGTCTAAATCCAGGTCCGCAGTGCAGAGGCGGCAGAGTGTCGGTCACCCACAAGGATCTCCCCTGGCCAGTCCTTTGTTAGAATATTTTTCTCTCTTTTTATTCCGACCCAACGACTGTCACACAATTTGCCAATTTCTTTGACATTTATCACTTGACAAGCACTTTCTGCAATTTATCAAGCCTTAACTTGTGCTCTCGGGCTCAAAAGGCCAGGAAATTATGTTAAGACCATAAAACCGAGTCCCAAAACATGGCCAACATAATAAATTCAAAGGCAGATGAACACAGAAATTTACAAAGTTTTTCCGCTGCGTTCTCACACCTTTTGTCTCAACTCTTTGGCTCTGTCACTTGAGTCACATTTCTTATGCAGCAGAAAGTTTCAATATGAAAAAAAAGAAGAAAGGAGAAAAGGTGCTGTAAAAAAGTTACAATTTATTCACCGCTTGGCAAGTCACTGTAGGTGATTAGGGCAGAAGTTTTTCCATTTTAATTTACAGGAAAAGCGCTCCCAACTGACCTACTGAATCGGAATGAGAGGGGGCTAACGATATTCCGCTAGTTTATTTCATTTCCATTTACAATTCACAACTCAAATGAGAACAGGTGCCTGAACTGAAAGTCATGTCAAGGTTAGCGCCGTTTTATTGATTGATTATCGAGCTAGAGTGCATGAAAATGACTTTCCCATCAGCAGTCCGTGTTTATTTTCATACTTTTTAATATCTACACAAAGTTTTCGTTTGCATTCAAAGTTTGTTGCCACCGAATTCCCCAATCAGCAGACAGAAACCTTCAAAATCCAGCCACGTAAAGGCAATTACGAGCGCAAAAAAAGAAGGAAACTATTTTTGCAGCTTCTTTTTATTCGTTTTTATTTCCATAGTTGAGGGAGGAAACTTTTAATGCAGCGATCGATATGAATCCTACTTGGAAGGAGGAGTGAGAGAAGGAGCAGGAGCAGGGGCATCTTCTCAAAGGTAAATCAAGGTGTGCCTCGTTGGCCCGTGTGCGTGTCCTTAGCAGGAGCAGTGTGATTGTGGCTGTGGGTGTGCTGGGTGGGTGTGCCTGCTGCGGATGTTTGCGCGCGGTTTAAATATAAAATAAGAAAGAAATATATACTTAGTGGCTTGCCTCGACATGGTAATACCTGGTAATAAATAGTTTAGGGGTGGCAAGTAAGACTTTCTAAAAATTATACAGAATTTTGTTATAGAAGCAAGACTAAATATATTTATTTTAAAGTCTCAAAAATCCTTTTTTCTTACTGTTTGATTCATTAAAATAAATCTAGTATACCCTTGTATCCTTCAATTACCGGGTATAAATCCTATGTGTGCAAAGTCCAAATTATATAGCACAGCCATCTACCGCGTGGCCAAGTCAGGCCAATGTACTTTGGCCAAAAGCAGCCAAAAGTGGTTGGAAACAAGGTTACCTGGTACGCACCATGCGGCCAAAGCGGAGAAAAATGTCTACAAGGCACGCAAAGGCAGGCAGGCAGGCGGACCTAAAGAAGGAAAACAAAAAACGCCAAGAAACCTGGCCTCGTCAGGCACCCACAATAGACCAAACAAAAAACCATGTACACAAAACAAAGCAGCAAAAATATATGCTATACAAAAAACACAGGAAAACTTCGTTATTCCGAACTGCAAAAGAAAATGAAAGAACAAAATTGTCAAAATAAAGTTTTGATACTTGAGAATCTCAAGTTGAGATACTAAATTGAAACAAGTTTCTTACAAATTTCTTACAAATTTTTAACAATTTTAGATTAAGGAAACTCCCAAGTACCTAAAATAGTTTAAGTTAAAATACATTTAAAAACTAGGCAATTGTATTCTAATTTAATTTTGTATTTTTTTTACATTAATTCCTGATAATGAAGTTTTCCTGTATCTTGTGTTTTATAGCCACCGTCGATTTTCGCCGCAGTTAAGCTTAATTCAAATTTAATTTACACCTAATTGTTTGACCCGAGAGATGTCCCATCATTTGTCATGTTGCGAAATGGAGCCGGCTAAGCGATTAATTAATTCTCCGCTGGCAAAGTGGAGCAAACAATTGAAATTCGACACCGAGAGGTGACCGAAAGTCGCTAGAAAGTTCCCACAGGATGCTCGAGCCTCGCGGCAATATAAAGATGAATGAGGATAGAATAAACTTCAAAGTGGGGATAATGAGCACCGTAAACAAGCCAGGAGACTGCAGCATATTTAATTGCGCACCTTAATGTTTATTTTCAAGTACGGACTCAGTCATGCCGACACGGGTGAAGTAATGCCGGAGAGTGCACAGGGGGTACGGTACGCCTTTTGGCAATTAGATGACGGGTTAGTCTGGCATCTGCTTGGATGTAAGCGAGCCGTAAAACAGACACCACCCCTAACCAGAACCCACGAAATCCAACGGATCCACCACCACCAGCCGTAGGAAAAACAGCAAATGTATAAAAAAAGAAAAGCAGAAAGAAAAACCAACACTTGTAAAATATCACGCTGCGCCTTTGGGTCTAGCTCTGGCTCTGGCTCTGGCCAAGGTGAGCCGCCCACATCCACCCTGCCCGCTGCTGGTTAGCTCGTTACATTCTATCGATTTTTATGCCAGCAAATGTACACACGTGTGTGTATTTTTGAATATCTTCTCATCAGAACTGCCTGGCGGCGAGGCAGGAACTAACGCTAAATCGCTTAAATTCTGCACTGCACTGGCCTAATTGGATTGCTCCGACCGCAGCACAGCAGCACAGTCAGTTTTTGGCAGGTCCTGCCGGCCAAACAAACCCCTTTTTTCCATCAAGTGAAAATTTATATTTTCCCTCAAATCTTTCAACTGCCAGCGACCTGATCCTTTTTGTGTGATATTGTGATATTGACAGCCAGATAGACAGCAGGATACCTCCCAGTTCCCAGTTACCAGTTGCCGGCTGCCAGTTGCAGGTTGAGTTGTTGCTCCCGCTGTCACCGTCCACGTCTGGATTTAGTCTCCGTCTCGTGCGGCTGCCAGAAGCTTCCCCAGGGCGCAACGTTTGACGGCAACCGCCACCGTCGTCGCATCCACATCCGAATCCCGCTGCGACAAAGTTCGTTTTGGAGCGAAGCTGACGCAGCACAGCGAGTGGCTGCCAAAGGTAAACCAGATATGATGGATACTTGAGAATTGCTCATGACTTTGGGATTTACGGGGGCAGAAGGTGCAACGAGATGGGAAAAGTCAAGACATTTTGCAATGCAACATATTTATCTCTGTCTTGGGTAATAAAAAGGATTGAGTTGAGAGAAAATTAGGAGGAATTGCTAAAGATAGTTTTTAATTTCAATGCAGAGATACATAACCAAGACCTTATAATAGAAGAAAATGCTATATATTTCAGATTAAGATATTTAAACATTTAAGCAAAACGTTTATTAACCTCTTAGGCTGCATTGTTTTAAGAACATTAATCATGCCTTTTCTCCTGCCAATCTATAGTTTAATTAAATACCGGATAAAATAAATGTATTTATCAGAAACTGAAGAAGATGATGAAAAATGGCCTCAAGAGCAAAGATAAATGGATAAATGCTTGATTATTAAGAGTACTTTGATGAATAGAAAATAAATATTTTCTGACAAGTTCTATCTGGTGTGATCTTAAATTTTAAGGCTTAAATAAACGTTTAATAAATACTACTAAATAATATACATCAATCTGAAAACCACTTAAAAAAAACTATATATTTGACAGATCAGAACTTAAATCGTAATGCAATCCCACTTGTAATCCTTTTAACCCAGCTCTCTGCCAAATGGCATTAACTTTTGCAACTGCCTATTGATCCGAATCGAATTGCAACCTTCTCATTTGCAATTCATAAAGCGGGCGTAAACCGCTGCAAATATATATATTTTCAATCCGTTCCATTTGCATTGATTGCGTAAGCCCCTGGCAACACTAATTGCGAGTACTTATAGTTGCAATTGATTGCGTCCTTTATGCCCGACAAGTCGACAAGTCAAGCTGGGCACAGTGCGTGTGACAGGAGCTTGGACCAAGGACCAAGGACCCAGAACCAAGGACGAGTAACGTAGG